TAGCATAAATTTGGATATCATTTCCAAATCATTGAACGCCATTACTTTTATAAATGTAAGCTATCAAGATTTTCTTAATTTCGCTTTTTCCTTTTACGTATCATTACTGATTTTGCTGAAGCAAACAGCATGTTAATTATGTAAAATACAAAAATTACAATTTACTAATTCTATTTTTGAATTTCACAATAAAAAGCACTACACAGCATTTTCTTGCTTGACTCGTGCTTCAAGGTTCGTTATTACAAATATGATACCAGTCTACGTTAGCTGATAAACCATGCTGATAGCTAATAAACAATCAAAAATAGTTTACTGATAGCTATGCAACATTAACAGATTTAGAAGCAGTGAAAAAAAGTGCCGTATTGGTAGACTATTATGCGCTTTTGTAAATAATTAGATAAATTAGACCGATAAGGAAAGCAAATACCATCAGTTAATTAGAGAAGAGCAAAAATGCAGTGATATATATAATCATGTGTAGCAGGTCGGAGCTTAATCTTTTCTGTCTTGATTCTCTCGTTGGATAGTGTTCCGGCACTCCCTTTGTATTCTCTAGGTATGCGATTCTGCTGGTTCCGGTCGAGCATTTTCTCATATCCTTCACGGAGCTTTCTTCAACAACTTCACCTGTTTTCCGTTTGTTTCAAATTATGATTCCAGACTCGGTTTTTTTCCGTTTATCCTCCATTTCCTGCTTTGTGATCCGAGTTGACTAATTGATCGCTCAATCACTCGATAACTCGGCAGAGCCGAAAAACAATATACATATATATATTATATTTCTGACAGGTCGCAGTAGATAATCTTTAAAAGTTCTTAGTTCTCTTCATTGAAATATATAATTAAGTGCCTTTTCAGTCAGTCATAATTTGCTACTGCATTCTGAACCACACAATACTTTAAGGTATTCAGTAATCTTTAAAGACTTCCTATTTTGTATTTCCTTAATATTCTGTACTGCCAGCATTTTTAACCAAGCAATAATGCTCATACACATAAGTAGTTAGAATGCTATTTTTTTTCTAGTTGTTTCTTTTAAAATTTTGTATTGACTTTTCAGTAGTACTTTAAATGCATAAAAATAATGAAAGTAAAAGATTATCTCTTTTTGTTGAAAAACAAACAATCAAATTTGTCATTTTGAAAATGAAAAATAGTTGTTCAAAAGTTGTCAAGCAATAGTATTAATCAATGCAGTATTGTCTTAAAATCAAGCATATTAGTACTTCCCATCTGTAAAAACTTGTCAAGTTGCGTTTTGAATATTATTTTAAGTATTTTTCAAGATTAAACAGATGTATTTACAGTTTTCAAACCTTTTACTCATTCTTCCATTAGTCTTTCTTTGATTTTTAATGGTAAAAAAGATTGCAGTTTCCAAGAATTTAATCATGAATATTTTTCAATTTGCAATAATACCAATAACGAATATAAATTAATTTGCTGTCATTCATTTCACTGATGGCCAATATATTTTCAATTTATTGCCATATATTTTTCTTTTGGATTTCGTACATATTTAAACTTTTTTGAATAACTGCAGTCTTTGCACATAATAATGTTTAGCGAAAGATCTTTGAATGAATCAGAGCTAGTTTTAGTTTGTAGAGGTAAAAAATTCAATTTTCTATATGTATGCCTAAATGCTAACAAATATGCAAACAATGTAATGTATTTTATGCTTATATATTGGCATTCAAAATTTTTTCATTTTTTTTTTATATCTACGAAAGTAAAAATAGTTTATATTTAAAAATTTTTGTAATCTTTAAACTTAAAATAATTTTTTACAAAATTATAGTTCTGTTCCATGAAATAGTTTTCCATAAAGCATTATATTTTTTAATCTATCAATTTAATTACTTTTGTTTTCTTACGTCTAAATTTATGAATCAATTTCGGCACATACAATTTTTGGATTTTAAGCAAAAAGTAAATCATAAATTAAAACCAGAAACTTCAAAAGAAACTTAACTTTGCAGTGAAATATTAAAAAAAATATAGAAACCAAAAAAAAATCGGCTTTACCTAAACTAGCTTTTAAACAATTGAAAAAATGCACCCAAATTTCGGAAGTTTTTAATATATTTTTCTGCTTGTTTTGCTTATCTATCAAGCTTTACTTCTCAATAGTTTTGAGTTACGAGAACAAATAAAAAACTTTAGGGAGCAAAAAATTTGGCAAGTGATTTTAGTTCAATTTTAAAAGTTGGTTAATCTATAGTTAGCGAAAAATTTGGTTAATTATGATCAAAATTTGTGATAAAAACTAAATTTTTTTGCTTTTACAGCCAAAAAATCCATGTTGTTGAACACGCTAAGAATGCCTAGAAACAGAGGCAATCATTCTGATTGGAAACAATATACAACATCAAGCTATAGTAATTACAGTTCAGCTACCAGTGATATCAATTCAGGTTAGAAAATTATACTATAAAATTTTTGTTAATGAAAGTTAATAAATTCAATTGTAGTACTTGATGCTTCTCTTATTTAAACGCTTATTTATTTCTTTTTTTGTTTTTTTTTGTCTGTATTATTACTCAAGAAATTGTTTTTGTTAGGTAAAAATTACATAAATCCACCAAAACTTTGCAAAGAACAATTATATGACGAACAATTTAAATTGCGAGCAAAAATTGATAAATAAGGGGAAGGAAAAAACTGATTGATGGAGAACATGCTATTTTAAAATGCTCACTTATGTCTTTAAACAAAACTCGGAGACACTGCAATAAAATTTGCATATACTGCTTTTGAACTTAAGCTTGCTAGTAGTCTTTTGTTAGTTGTGATCAAATGTTTGATATCAAATGTTTGCAAAATTCTATAAACAAAAGTTCATAATAAAGAGTAAAGCATATTCATTTTTAGTAGTTTATATACAGTTAATTTCGTTGTGAAAAAAAGTATTTTCATTTAAATCTTACAAGCAGAACAATTTCTGTAATTATTTGGGAAGTTTCGACTTTGAGTAAATTACTGAATGATGAGATTTACTAGTGTATAATTTAGATCTTAATAAGTGATAAACACTAAGTCACATAAGTTTTAATTTAAATTTAAACTTTTCAATCAAAATATAATCAAACAGAAATAATTTTCGCTAAAAAAAATTCATCGAACTGTGAATTTTACCAAAAAAAATGGGAAAAAGAAAGTAGCACAATTTCAAAATTTTCGAATTCAACTCATCCTTTTAATATTCATCCTAATATAAATATGTTGTAAATAACTAAATTATTCTACCGTTTTATTTTGTTAAGTAATTTTTGGATTGTTTCTAGGAGTTTCTAAAAAGAAACACAAGAAATTCAAAGGCTTTGGATAAAATGTTGATAGTAATGTGCATTGAATTCAAAAAATATGCTCTTAATACATAATATCGAATTTTATTACAAAAATTTTGAATTTGTCCTTATAACAAATTTTTAGTATCTAAACTCGTTGAAGTACAAAATTACGACTTCAAAAATATTAAGAAAATATTTTCATACAACTTATATTTTTATATTTTGAATAGCTTACTAAAAATTATTCTAATTTGTGGAACGGTTTAAAAAAATATCCCAAGAGACTAGCAATGAATAATGCTTCCTATATTTTGTCATCTTAAACATACTACTATTGCTACTTGCTTGTTCTCACACTGAAATGATACTTCTCTTTACTCTACTAGTCTAAAATTTACTTTCTTCCGTGAAGAATTTTTGAATTAAACCAAGCGTTTGCTTAGAAATGGTCTATGGTAGGGAAGGAGAGTTATTCAAAAAGAAACTGATAAGAGTTAGTTTTTTGCAAGATTTTTCAAAATTTATTCACTAGCATTGCGTCATTGCCTTTTCTTTTCAACTTGTTTGTTATTGCTTTCTTTTCCAAATATTGTACAAATTACTCATTTCACGCAAATATTTATGCATGTTTCTTAAAGCATAATTAACTCCCGAAGCAATAAAGCGATTTATTGAGACAATATAAAAAACAAAAATGTTATCTTTTTTTTTAAGAAAACAACAACAGCTTTTAGCTTTTGTCTATACAATGCTTATATTTTCTAATTTTGAGCTAACGGCAAAGTTTAGTTTTAAATATTTCGATAATGCGCAGAATAACTTATGCATTTTGTGTGAAATGAGTAACAAGTATGCATTTTCAACTTGTTCACCTAAAATAACATGAAGTTAGTCCTTTATAGAATTTAACAACTATTTTGAATATCTCTCATTTCTATGCCTTTCATTAATTCATTGCAATTTACATTTACCCTACAGTGCTATCGCATGGCAGCTAGTGTTGTTGGACGCCTCATCAAAGCAATACATTTAAATACGACGCCAAAACCAAATTCTTTACTTGTATTTGTCTGCAATTTAGGTATTTTTTCATGTGTATTCGTATTACTTATGTAATAGAAATTTCGTTCAAATCTTCAGTCATATCATGATACTACTATAACATTTGATGTTTTCATCAGTAAAATTAACTTTTTAATGAAATAAATTTGGCCTTTTTACAATATTACTTATTTAAAAGTGTGATAAATGAAAATAAGGATTGAAGCCCAATTAAAATGATAAATTGATTCCAGTATAAAATATTTGTGAACACAAATCACTATACATATTTGATAATGATGAAAAATTGTTAAGATTACATTTATACGAGCAATTTGTTTGAAATTATCAATTTAGTGTTTTGATTTTGAGAATTTTGTTGGTTCATAATCCATAATTTTCCCATAAATCTCGGTATCTGAAAAATCTGACATAAAAATCTAACAAGGCGTACGTACTCTCAATGTAACGTAATCTGAAAGCATCACGTGTTAAGAAAGATTGAAACAAAAGATGATTGAAAAATCATTTGATTTCTACAAATACTGACCATTCTTTAAAAATAATGCTTCATTCTGTCCACTCTTTCAATTTTATTTCAAACATTAAAAATTTGCTTGGTATTATATATAAAACCATTTACACTAAACTTTCTGAGACATGAGACATTCTGTTATTATAATTCTCCCAAGAACTACTTTATTTTTAGCATCTCCGAGCAATTTAGCAGCACAAGGTTTTGTTGTTGAACACCAGCCAATAGCACTGTTTCGATCAGAACTTGAAAAATTAGAACATATTTTACTCTTTCCTGAAGAAGTAGCTTTTCAGGTATACGAAATCATTCCTTTATTTAATTAATTTCTAAGAAAGATGTTTGTAAACATGCTTAAGTAATGATATAAATATATAATAAGATCATGATCATATTAGTTATTTTTATTAGTTAAATGTGCATAATTTAAAAATTTATTCTGAGAACACCGCAAATTTAAAAAATAATGTATATTTTTATCAATGATTTTAACAAAGTTTGCATGGTTCAGTGGAAACACTGCCTTTCTTTATTATTTTACTTCGAATATTTTCTGCAACAAATTCACAATAACTACTGCAACCTCAATTTGTAAAATTTATGATATTCACTACTAAATTAGCAAATACACCAAGTAAATTATTATCTCTTATTGAAGTTTCGATAAAAGAATAAGTTTCAACAATAATTTTGAAATAAATAAAACATATATGCTCTACTTCAAGTTGTCAGCAACTGAATACAAACTATTTTACGAGATTCAACCGATGGATTATATTCGCTATGTTAGTTCTAACCTTACATCCCGATCAGTTGCGGAAAACCCGAGCCCTGTTCGAAATTTAGTTAAACGCTTATCAGAGGTATACTGCACTTTTTTCAAATTATTTACTTACTAGTTATTATATTATTAAATCATTACATCTTTAAATGAATGAATTATTGGCGGTCTTTAAAACATGTTTACATCTATTTTAAAACTATAAGATAAAATTGTGAAATAAAAATTAGCATTAAACAATCTCCATTTTAACTAATATCATCTTTTTGCTAACTGAATATTATTGCAAATAGCAAAGAAATTTTTTTTGAATGTTTTTTTCACCAGAAATAAATTAAATTGAATCATATAATTTATTTATTTATCTTTGCCTTTGTGTACTTTAAAGGATAACTAAAAAAAATTCCAACTTCAGACTATAATTTTGTCAATTTATTAACTGCATTATCTCAAGAACATATGACCCATTTCCTTCATTGCAAATCTTGTCAGTACTTCAAAATGTGCTTGATTAACTTCCTAAAGAGAACCAAATTCTTTGCTAAACCACATTTAATTTCTATTTTCAAATTTTTTCATTTTTCAGATAAGTTCTTGGATAACACATCTGATTATCAGCTTACCAACAGACGAAGATCGGAAAACAAGAGTGACCACTATTTTACGAATAATAGATACATGCTGGAGCATTGGTCAATTTTTTTGAATGAAATTTGAGATTATTTAAGATTGTTCATAATTTTTCGAATTTCGAAATTGCAGAGATATAATAAAAAATGTTTCAGGTAATTTCAATGCAGCAGTTGAGATTTTAATAGGATTAAAAAGTGAAAAGCTACGACCATTTTGGTTATCATTGAAACCAGAAGAAAAGAAAAAATACGAAGAGGTAATAATTTATTTGTATAAACAAAAATTTACCTCCAATTTTTTGCTAAAAAAAAGTTAGTCATAAATGTTAACGTAGTAAGAATTGAGCTGAACTGACTAGAAACTTTCTTGACTAAACTTCTTTGATTTGGAACATTATTAATTGTAGTTGTGTGAAATACTTTTACCCAGTGATCAAACAGCCGTATCACCTACTTATCGTGAAGCAATTCAACGAGCACTAAAAATGCCTCAGTGCAAACTAATACCTTTTTTTGGTGTTTTCTTACGTGACTTATATGCGATTGTGAATGACTTACCAAGTATTGTGATGTCCGCGGATGAAGGCGTTCGAGATAAACCAGATGTAATGATTGTACTATTTCAAGTCAATAATGCAGTGAAATGTAAATAAAATGATCAAAATCATTCTTTTGCAGTTAACGAAAGAGCATAATGGTAATGATTATTGCGCATCAAAAATTGAAGTTACTGGATTATTAAATGCCGACAAAATTAACTTAGTAGTTGTTGTCTTGGATAATTTGGAATTATTTCATCGCCATTACAAGAATAGACGAAGTTTTATTTTGGATCAAGCAGAATCAAGTACTAGAAAAAAGAAACGAAAAGCAAAAGTACCGATTGTATGAGCAAAACATTATTCAAAGAACAAAATAATATTCAAGAAAACAAAATTTATAGATTCTTCTTTTTTTTTTTTCAGAAACGAAGAATCTATGAATTTGTAATAGAATGAATGTAAGTTTAATGCTACAGGAGTATGAATCAGTGCAAGCAGTGGAAGGTAGCTCGAAAAATGTAACGCTAATACCTCTAGATACGAATCATTTCAACTTGGATGTTATTCAGCGACTTCATCATGGCACCACTGTCATTCGATTTGATCCAGAAACAGGTCGCAGCACATTATGTTTACTGAAGTTACACGCGAGTTGTGGTTTGTTGTCTTGGCATAAAGTCGGCAGTTTTAAAACCAAAGATATTAGAGATAAAGTATGTGTTTGTTTGCTAATTTTTATTCTTCCTTGAATGCATAGTTATTCGAAATAGTTCACATATCCATCAATACAGAAATAAATCAATGAAAAATACAAAAATCTAACATGTATACTTCATGCACTTGGTAAATAAGATAAATGGATTAGTAAGAAATACATTTCAAGAGGGAGATTTTTAGGATACTTATGTTCCACCGATGTCAGGAATATCAAACTCAAGTTTACAAAGCTTGACAACGACAGAAAGTTGTAATCCTACTCTATCCCCATGTACTCGACCGAGTGGAGCTGTTTATGCTACAATGGATAATGGGTTTTTGAGGCTGTATGATGTAAAGTCAGTTGAAAGTGTGGGTTCACATGAAATCGATATTGAGGTCAGGTCAGATGAAATGACACAAAAATCAAATTTATAAAATCTTTTCGACACAAGTAATTTCTCGATTATTTCCAGTTTATTTGATGATACTATAACCACATTCGATCAATAAGCAACAAAAATGTAGGAGGTTAGCACGAAAGAATCATCGATATTATATTATTTCTAATAATATCATTAAAGTTCAAAAGTGAAACTTTATTAATAGCTAGATTTTTAGAGCATATACAGACGTCACAGCAATGAAGAAATGTCCGTCTCAATAGAATGCTGGGCAATAAATTATGGTTGCCATCTGTCTGACAATGAATTTTTCTATTTCATTGCACCTAAGAAAAGTGCACAATGTTGGTTAAATGGCCTGATTGATGTATGTCTTTAAAAATGAGTTTGTGAAGTTTCAACAGTCTTAGGAGATCAAATGGATTTATAAAAAAAAAAAACGCCGTGGGAAATGAATTACAAAAATATGTATTCGCAGTTCTGTTGTTTATGAGTAAATTGAAATTAAAACTTTTCAACTTGACAAATAAAGAATGTTGCTAATTGATTAAAACAGATTGTAAACTATATGATGGAAGAACGAAAATATGCTGATCGACGAATTATCTGGTTGAAGAAGTTGTATTTGCAATTGTGCATTGAACATGAGCAAGACAGAATATTTGATCCATGTGCGAAATATTGTCCACAACTTTCTGAAGCTCTTCAGGCTTTTGGTGGACAAAGCAAAGAATTAAAAAACTTAGGTGCTGTTTTTTTATTCCCAAAAAACTACAATGATTTCAAATTTTTTTAAATTTAAATCATTGCTTATTTTTTTGGACTGTATTTTGGAAAGCTAATTAGTATACATCTACCATTATATAAGCTTTATAATTCCTTCAGCAATGCAACAGATAGGACTGAATGCTAGTAAAAAAGTTACAACAGGAAAAAGTCGTTTAAAACAAGTGACAAGCGCTGTAACTCGGCGCATGAAGACTGGAGGCTATAGTACTACTTTATATAGCCCACAACCATTTGCATCCATAAAGGTGACTAAATATACTCGCTCTCACTTAACTTTAAAATATGAGAACTTTGAATGAATTATTAAATATCATATTTTTAAGGCAATAATCAGATAGAAAAAAGAAAAATAAAGTAGGAAAATATAAATTGTAACGTCACTTCAGTATTAATCTCATGAAGAGTTTTGTGATACAATAAAAAGTTATGGCATACTTTGACAAAGAAATAGTACTTATAAATGGTTTTATAATTTCAATGATTTCCGATTCAAGACACGCTACTCTTCAATGAGAAATCGCGTAAGAGATAAACAATCAACATCACCAGATTCAAGTTCTTTGAGAATTACATCATCAGCGAGTAGCATTCATTCTTGGTACACATTCAGAAGGTAAGCAACATAGCAAACAAATCCTTTCTATAGAAATAAAAGCTTGACCATATCTCTCAAACTCCTCAAAATATTTTGTAGCAAATAATTTATTTGAACTGGTTATGGATACTACACATTTTTTATTGTTATGTTACTGAATATTTTATCGATTGATCTGTTTCATTAATAAATGGATCGTAAATAAACAATATAAATAGTTAGAAATTCTCATATTCTTTTGATCAAAAAAGCTGTATATGAAAAATTACTACAGCAGTGACTCTGTTCCAGATCAAAAAACTCTAAAAATGAAAGTTTGAATCTTATTCTCACAAAGAAGAATCCAGTGACTTCTGAATTATTTCAAGAAGATTATTCGGAGAAACCTTTGACATTACTTGAATTTATTGAATTATACAAATTGTTTAATATACAAATGCGAAAAGATCTGAAGTAAGTCATTTTCAGCACAAAAATTTCTCACCATATTTTTGTATTTATCATAACTGGAATTGGGCTAGTATCGTTACAGAAATATTTTTAACGATGTTATTACAATGTGTGCTGAAAAAGGAATTCACTGTGATCATTATGGGGATCAAACGATATCAAAAGCAAAACCGTCAGATTCTAATATTCAGTGCATACCAACTGGTAAAAGAGTTTCATAAACAGTTTTGCATGCTGGAGAGCAAATATAGGCATATGCAAAGCGATATATTCTTATCCAAATATATTATATCATAGTATTTTTACATTTATTCGATCACTCAAAACTATTTATTCAATTCAGATACAATTCTTTTAGATTTCTTAACACGAAACAATTTTACAAGTCGTGAAATCTACGAAAGGCAGCAAAATATTCATAATGCGCTTACTCTTGCAACCACGAATAGGTTAGTAATTATAGTTTAAAAAAAAAAATCAATTAGTAAATTCAGCATCATTTTTTAATTTTTCATCCAATAAATTTTGTGCCGATTTTGTTGGTACAAGTAGGTTGAAATTAAGCTACCAAAATAATTTATTCGATCACTCAAAACTATTTATTCAATTCAGATACAATTCTTTTACCAAACAAAATACAAGCAAAAAAAATTGAAGATTAATAGCAATAAACTGAAAACGATAAAATATCAAAAGAATTTCAGTTCCATATAGATTTCCCTTTCAACCTATTGAAATTCTGAAAACCGTTTAATAAATTACTAATTCAATGCGTAATTGATATTAAACAACAAAATTTTATTTTCATGAACGTGTATTTTCAGTACAGGTTCCATGGATACGTCAAAAACTTTATTTCTAACACCTAGAATGCTCCAAAAATTCATTGAAATACATCAAATGGAAATTGTGGATGAAGACTATGCAGCCAAACTAATAGAAGTGTTTTTAAATAAATATAATTAGTACTTTCTTGGATTCATGAGACTGATTTCCACTTTGATTTTTGCTTTCTCTTGATATTTTAGGAGCATGAACCAGATATTTCTAACCGGATCAACAAATTGCTTTCATTCGAAGGATTTGTACGCTATCTAACAGATTCTAATAACTATGCGTTTGTACCCGAAGCAATCAAACCTGATGCAAGCACACTTCATTATCCTTTAAGTTATTATTATATTTGCTCAAGTCACAATACATACCTCACAGGTCATCAGTTGAAAGGTGAATCATCCACTGAAATGTATCGCCAGGTTAGATTTTTATGTTCATAATTATGCAGTTACATGTCAATCGTCATTAGAGATGAAGTAATTTATTCAGTCATGTTTATTTTCTTTTTATAACTTTACATGCTTATAGTCTAAGCCAAGTACTTTAATCTTAGCTAAAGTAAAAGTGATATTGAAAAAAGTATGCAGTTGTTTTGGATTCAAGGTGTTATTAACTGGTTGTCGCTGCATTGAACTGGATTGCTGGGATGGTGAGAATGGCAGACCACAAATATTTCATGGTCATACTTTAACATCGAAGATTGACTTCTCTCAAGTGCTTAATGCTATTAGAAAAAATGCATTTGTTACTAGCAGTTTACCTGTAATTTTGTCAATTGAAAATCACTGTTCACTACAACAGCAAGCACGAATGGCTCAAATGTTTCAAGTTCGAATTTGCTTTCTTATTATAGTGATATTAAAAAAATAGAAACCTTCACTTTTTAAATTCAAATTCTTGTCACATTTGTAATATGCATATTTTAGAATTATCTCGATGAAAAATTGGTGAGACACTTTTTGTTCGCAGCAGATTACAGTGATTCTCCGCGACTCCCTTCACCTTGGCAGTTACAAAATAAAATTTTAATAAAAGATAAAAAAATGATTGCAGAACCAAGTGCTGGATTATCAGTAGATAAATATTTCAGAAATGAAGGAGATATGACTTTCGAACAAACTGAGTTTGTCTAATTAATTAATTGCTTTTTTTTTATTACTACGTTTTAAATACCTTACCGTAATTCAGGTAAATTACATAATGTTAAAGTCAACAAAATTTTCAGTGGATCTTATGGAGTAGATGAAGATGATTTAGAAGAATCTGATAATTACGAAGATCCGAATGACGACAATGAAGAGGGTCAGTTGCATACTACAAGTAATTTCGAAACACATCCTAAAACTTTTTGTATGATCTTAAATTAAATTTTGTACTGTACAGATTCGAGAAGCTCAAGAGCAAAAAGACTGTCAAAAATTGGAAGACAAAATTCATTTGGTGAAAACGAGGAAGCGCCAAAAAACTTAACCACAAAATCAGTTCATGCTGTTCGTTTGGTTACTAAATGTTTTTTTCGTGCGCCATATTAGCTTATCACAAATAGCATTAATGTGTATAACTGAAAAAATTTATCTGTAGATTGATCATGTAAAGATTATTGTCACTATTCTTTTCGTAGCAGACTAAGATTTTAATAAAATGAGTCATTTGGTCTGATTTTAGGCAAGTGAAGCATGTGATAAGAGGACGAGCTATGAAGTATTATCAGCTCCTTCAGAAACCGTTTCACCAAGATCTATGAAGAAAGGACCAGGAATTGCACTTGCGCCTGAATTATCAGACCTAGTAAATTATCTTCAAGCTGTTAAATTTAAGGTAAACTAAGTCCTAGTCTTCAATACATTTCACTAAATTTACATTAATATTCAATTTACAATTTATTGATTTATTTATCATATATATCTTTGAGGGATTTCCTAGAATGATGGAGTTTGTTCTTCAACAACAAGAATTAACGAAGTCAACAACGATAGAAATAGCTCGCACGAACTCAAATTCGTTATTAATGCCAAATTCCCAGCAACAATCATACGATTCTTCACAGTCCTTCGAAGAGAACAAGCTAAAATTGCCAGAAGAAATTTCTCTCTCTGGTAAATCATTCTCAGCACCAAAGAGTAATGCACCATGCTATCAGGTTACATCTCTTAATGAACCATCGGCCCGAAAACTTTCCAGGTATCACTTCGTAATTGTGCAACTGATATCTGTATTTTAATGTATTTGCTGTATTTTTTGTAATATTTACTCAAAAACTGTCGAAAGCATTTCAGGAAACATCCGTTAAAATTCATTGCATACTCACGTGACCAGATTGTTAGAACATATCCTGGCGGAATACGCATTGATTCGTCGAATTTTAATCCAATTCAATATTGGTCATTTGGCATACAAATGGTCGCGCTAAATTTTCAAACTGCTGATACAGCAATGGCTGTTAATACTGCAATGTTTGAACAGAATGGTAACTGCGGATATGTTTTAAAACCACGTGTTTTTTGGGATATCTCTCATCCACTTTATAATCGGTTTAATCCTCGTAGCAAAGATATTTCTTTACAGTCTGCTCTTCTTTATAAAATAACGGTAATTTTTTTTAAAATTCTAAATATAAATTACTAAAATTTCATTTTTAATAACGAAAGCTGTAAAATGAAAGTAAATATGCATCAGAACTAAGCTTTTATTAGTCTATCAGTTTCTTCTTTCATTTCTTATTCTAATTAAATAGTACTAATTATGTCAAATTATAAAAAGGAAAAAAGTTATGCATAAATTATCAAGAAGATATTTCATGTGTTCAATTCTCTAGGCAGGTTGTTCATCAGTCGTAAATTTTTTACTAGATAATATCGGGTCAACATGTATGTCCGAATCAGCATGCTGCTTCATCATATGTTGAGCTGGAAATTATTGGTTTGCCAGCAGACTGTGCAAAAGAGAAAAGCAAAACAGTGAGCAGAAATTCGGTGAATCCAATTTGGAACTATACTACAACTTTTCGAATTGTATTTGTCGAACTCGCTTTTTTACGAATTTCTATTTGTGACAGCACAAATGGCAGGCATGAATTTTATTTTGTGAAATTAAAACTTTTTTGGTAAAATAAGCCAACTTTTCTGTTTATGCATAGAGAAATGAAACATGACATATATGCATAGTTCTTCATTATTAACATTATTAGATGCATAGCACAACGAGTGGTTCCAGTACGTTTTATTCGTGCAGGATATCGTCATCTTCCGTTGAGAACTCCAGCAAATGTTCCAATCGAGCAAGGAACAGTATTTCTTTACTCACGTTTTGAACAAGAAGAGTATATCCACGTGCATGAGTGTGACGATGACACTTATGAATTTAATGTTCATCAGCCATTATATCCCCAGATGCTTAGTATTGATCCGGTTCGACTTTTCATGGCAGAAATAAAATCTTACTGATCTTTTTGTTGCTCATTATTTCTTTGCATAATTTACGCACAGCTTGAAAGTATTTCTCCAGGCTGCAAATTTGAAAACAGTTCCCATATTGCGTCGACAAATTTTTGTCCTTCAAGTATCAGGTTTATATAATGATGACACTATGGTTACTGTACATGTTGGCTTATCCAGTACTGTGAAAAATGTTATTCAGATGGTATGAATTTGATGTCTACTTTTAAAAGTTCATTAAATTATAATATTTCAAGTGCAGCACTTTTTTCAACTTAAATGAAAAAGTATGACAAGTTCTTGCAGGCACTTATAAATGCTGGGAAGAATGCAGATACAGTGGAAGATTATATTTTGGCTGAATTAACTATCAAACGTTTCTCAGCTGATAGTGATGAACAGTGCGCACATCGTATTTTACAGCCGAATGAATTGATAATGGATTCAGTTGCGTGCTGGAATGGTTCTATTCGACGTTTTGTTATCAAGAAGAAAGAAACAGTGAGTTTATTTTTCATAGCAGATCTATGCAAGAAAAGAATTTGACTTTGAATTTCAAAAGTGCTCCAAATGGAATTTGAGTTTTGCTGTTGTTTTCTAGGATTCTGGTAGTAGAACTTGGATTAATTCTTTGATAAAAAGTGGTATGACGATGCCATCATCCTCCTTAGCTAGTTTATCACCTTCTTCTTCCATGTCACCATCAGAAAAACGATCAAACAGTGGTGTACGAGGGCAGCAATCCCCTTTCCAAGGCATGGAATTTTTGGATCTCTAAACAGTGTTAGCAGTTAGAAAAATAATTCTTGCTAGAAATAGCTTTTAATGTAGATTGAAAAATAGATTAAATCTGAAATTTATAGACTTTCTATTTTACGATATCAGTTTAGTATAGGTTATATGGTCACAATTAAAAATTTTTTATAAAAATCAGCATAAAAATAAATTAAAGCTATTTGCTAGTGTTGATTTGAAATAATTCTGATAGATTCATGTTCAGTTAAGCATACAGTGAAGAAAACTTTCCTGGTATGTGTACACAATGTCAGCAAAAATCAGCCCTATATTATTCTGCGAGCAAATATTAACAGTATGGCCAGCGATATTATTAAACAAGTATCGAATTGTTCCTATATAAAGAAATAAGCAAAAATTTTTTTTTACTAATCAGTTTGACACTAGATAGCAAAGATTAGGTAATTCAAATGAGTGAGAGAAAAATTTTTAAATTATTAAATCATAGCAAAAACCAAACGTGTTCTTCATTAAGCAGAATTTAAGTTTTTTTTAAATTATAAAAACTGTAAACTTGTTAGAACTTCAATTCCTTCAAAAACCTTACCTACATATAAGAAAAAAAACAGCATCATTAATTGCAAATTTTAAAATGTTTCAAAAAAGTTTCTACAATAATTTGCAATAATGTGAGCCATCAGTAGCATTGCAAGATTTCTATTTTATTGAACAATAAACAGATGTATCAGAATCAAAACATTTGTAACGTTTGCGTATAATTCCATTCACCCTTTTGGAATTTTTTTCAAGGTTTTTTTACAAACACGTCAAACAGATATCAATGAAACAGAATTTGTTCTTGTGGAGGAAACGTTGAAGGATTTCAGCTTAAGGACAGCTAAATCCCAACAGTCAAATCAGAACTTAAGAAAAAATTATGAGAAATTTATCTTGTCAAGAAAGAAAAGTGTTGAAAGTTAGTTAGTTGTACCAATTTACGAAAATTTCAAGAGAATTGTGATGTTACACATTGCTTTCAAAAACCTTATTTATTTTCGAATCATTTTTTTAAAGGTTTTGGCATATAATGAAGTAATTTTACATTTAGGTACCGATGGTAGCTGGTTAACAAGACTAAAATCAAGTTTTGGTAGTGAAAATTTAACTCTTCGAGTTTTGGGGCCAGAAGAAAACGTGTACAAAGCACAAAGCATGTGGAAAACTTCTGGACGTTTCATCTTGGAAAATCGCAATGATACCATTCGTTCAGCACAAGAACAAGTGAGAAATTTGTTGCAAGCATTAGAGAATGCATGCATAAGTTCGAGTTCAAAATTACTTAATACTCACTAAAAATTGCTTATTTCTGCACAAATTTTATTCATAACAATTTTTGCTCACTAGTTTTGTTTTTTATACATTTATATTCATTTCTAACACAATAAATTAACTTTATGTTTAAACTGAAAAACGAATTATTTTCAGCTTTTCTTTGCAGAATTCAAATTTCACTATTGAAGGCGTTAAAACAACGCTCATTTCTAATTCAGTACTCTTTTTACTATGCTTAAAAACAAAGCCTTTAATATCTATTATGGTGATTGAAATTATTACGTATTTTTTTTCTATCTTTGTTGAACTGTTTTCTACAAGAAATTATGTAAAGAATTCTTAACATTTAATAATATAATTGTTTCACATCACGTCAATTGTGGAGTAACTTTAATATGTTGCTCGATAGAATCCATAAATAACACTTAAATGATGCACTGTGCTTCATTAAAATTGTCTATGCAACAAAACAAAAGCGCTAATTCTGTAACTTCAATTTAACAAAAACTTTTTCTCAAAATATTTTATTATCATTTTAAATTTCTCGAATTTATTTGCTACATGCATGTATGTAATCATTCGTTCCAACAAGCGCTATATCTCACCTATGCATTTTATTTTCGTTACAAATTTACATCTAACTAACTGCATTTTTCTGCAACGATGATAATGAATGAAAAAAAAATTAAATAAAATTAAAAATACAATCCAATACTACTGAAGCACATTGTTAATCGTTCTAATTTGCTTTCATGCATAGCATAATAATTCTCTGCTATGATTGAAGACTTGGCTTTATGCATGGCTTTACTTTCATAGCAAAAAACAATATGAAAAGTGCTTTACTTTACTTCTGACTTTATAAATTCAATGAAAGATTTTTCAGTGAAAGAACATTGCTAACTCCCTTTTATGATAGAATATCAGTTTTTATTGATGTCAAAAAAAATAAGGACATATCAATACAAATTAAACAACTATGACTAATTCTACATTTAGCTAAAATTAGTAAATTACATTCGAATTCAGTGCAATAAATAAAAATGCATACATTAGAGTCATCTCGATTAAATGATTTAGTTTTGGAGTACATATGAAAAATAAAACAAACAAAAAAATTTTATTATTCAAACACAAATCACTCAAACATCGGAACGATGGACTCTGTGAGCAATACAAAACTCCTCGTATTTCTAATAAAACAGCTAGCTAGAAAATTACTGCTTTCTGTGCCAGGAGGTAATCATTAAAATGAACAAAAAAAATTAAATATTATTAAGCATCGAGCGCAGAATGCAATCTTTAAAAATATTTTACAAGCGATAGTAGTATAAATTACAGATTCTGCTTCATACATTTCCATTCATAAGCGATGAAACTTCAAAACTAACAGGTTTGAAAGTACTCACAATCTACAGAAAAGAATAGAACGACTTTCAATGCATAAAATATCTTAAGTGATAGCAATTCAATCATATAACAGATGAGAGACATGTTTTTCAATATTATATTATCGGAGAGTTTACAGAAGACACTCAAAATTTTTGTAAAATAAGCTTATCAAGACAAACAATGCTAACCATAAAGCAAAAAATGGAATCATATGGTTATTATAAAAAGAGCAACAAGAGTGTGACTGCAAAACTAAGTTCATGACTCTCAACGAAATCCTGCGAATATGAAAAGACAAAAGCTACACATTTGCATGTGAGAGTAACATATTGTAAGTGAAAGAGATATCACAGATCGAATGAGGTTCAAAAGATGCCTAATAATTAAAATAGTACATTATAGGATAACAAGGCAACAGAGACATCAAGCTGAGTTGTTTACTGTATCACCTTCTTCAACTACCTGCTCGATGACACAGTCGTTCAATTTAATTCGGACTGGTCTTGTCTCTGGATCCTAGAAAATGGTGAAGATTAATAATCATATATAAAATCAGACTAAATTATTTTTTCCAAATATTTTTGTCCAAGCACCATGATATTATGATAAATAATTAAGAAAGAAATACCTAGTAGAATTTATAATAAGACTTACCTTAACGACAATCTCTGTATTTATGAGATTGATTTTTAAATTCAGTGGAATGTCATTTTTTTTGACATCATCGGAAATGAAGGCTGGGAGATGCATCACAATAATGTTATCAAGAGATGCTCGAAATCCCTCAACTTGTATCTGAAATTGTAGTCATGGAAGTACTTGAATAGCTGAAAATACTTGTTAGTTCAGCATAAATGCACAATTTCTAATCAGATTAAATCGTTACTATAATACAAACAAAAGCTTTGATGCATCAAAGACTCACTATTGTAAATAATATTGATAAAATAATAATGTATATAACGTAAACTAACTTTTGAAACTTAACAATATATAAGAATAATCTTTGAATAGTTAAAAAAAATTAAAAGAATGACAAATTTCAATGATAAAAAACCAACATCTACTGATAAAGGCTGTTTATTAGATGACGACCAAAAGTGAAAATTAGCAATAGCTTTGCCATCATTCAAGCAAGTTTTCCCAGAAAAAGTATGAGCCTTTTGATTACTCATTGAGGCATAGACATCGGTCAGTTTTTTGTTCAAAAACTGTTGTACAGCAATTCTATAAAGAAGTCACTGCTGTATTCATTCCATTTCCTCATAACTGATCAAATTTTTATTCATTGAAAATTGAAAACAAATTTTGTTTTACATTACTAAACTGAAAGTCTTCACAGTTAAAACAAAAGGTATTAGTTAACATTTGAAGCACAATTACAACAATATTCATAGCAGATTTTAAAAATTATTTCTTAAATTTTGATCTTATATTAAAAATACTGAAATATGAATAACGCACTATTTGATTGACTTTAGAATTTTGTTGATGCAGAAATTTTCCTCTCTAAAATATAATTTTTGAGCTTATTTTTAATTTCATTAATTATTCGGAATGACATCTTCAATCAAACCATACAAAATAAAAGTCAATGCAACATTATACTAACCATACTAAATTTTATTTCTAATTATATTTGACAATTCCTTTTGAAGAAAATGATTAAAGGGATGATCGGAAGTTTGAGTATTGGCTTCTTGAATATTATTAATAATAATACACCAGAAAATAATTTTTAAGAAAAGAGAAAAATGAGTTTAAAATAATTGCAGCTACAAAAAGAAATGGATGCAAAAACTAACTCCGTAACATATCCAACTCCCTGTACAGAACTGTTCAACGCTGACGCCACTACATTCAGATCTTTAAGTACAACACAAACAATATTCACCTGAAAACTGACTTTATTTTACAATTAAGCAATTACATAGTTTGCTTACTGTTAACAATTTTTCTATTAACCGAGTAGCTGCTGCTATTTTAAAACCAATATGCTGATTAATAGAATATTTGAAATGTCATTTTATTCTTGCTTTTTATCTTGATCAAGAAACGATTGGAAGTCATAACTACCTTTTTTTTCAAATATTTAGATACTAAACTCGACTTCACTGCAATATTGTCGGGAATAGCCTCTTCTGCCATAGCAATTTCTTGAACGATACATATTAATATTTTATAGTATTTAAGTAGTGCGATAATATAAAATATATTCATCATCAAATTTCTCTCATAAAAAAGTATCTTACAAAAACACTGAAATACCTACGCATATTCCCAAAATCATTTATTTAATTTTATATAAATTTTAAAATAAAAATTATTTTCTAAAGAGTATTACAATCGATCACAAAAAAGTCCAAAGATTGCAAGAATCAAATTAATCCAATTCAGTAACTAAAGAGAAGCCAAAGATATAATATACAAGGTTAACAAAAGTGAAGCAAAAAAAATAGCAGTAATCAGAACAACGAAAGTATTTTTTTAAAATTACATGTATTTTAAGAATAAAATAAAAACTCTTACCGTCACCAAAAATATCATCTTCAACAGCATCAAACATCATCAACTGTTCCTCTTCTGATATATTCGTTGCAAGAGACATCGTTTCATCCACTGAGCTTCCTCTTTCTGTAATGTTGATAAATTTAGTGCGAATGATAACACAACTTTAACAGTTAAAAAATCAAATCAAATATTTAATTTCAAGCATTTTCATATTAAAGCTAAATAGGCACAATGTAAACAATGAGCAAATTTCTTATTTAAAGTGTGACGGTGTTAATATTTTTTCATCCATCACCAAATTAACCTTCATAATCGCTCAGCAATAATTAATGCATTATTTATCATGAATGCTTCAAATATACTGAAACTAAAAGAAATCAAGCAGAATGTAAAAAGAACCACTATCAGTTTGCTGAGAAAATTCAACAAACACTTCAGAATTATCTTTTAGGAATGCTTTTCCATCACTGATATCTGATACTTTTTGTTCCTGCATGAAAGCGGCTGGTGCCAAACATGTTGAATGTAATGCTTCATCCGTATCTACAACAAAAATAAAATATAAGACCGTTGAAACTGCAATAATTTTGCTGGTAAAATAAAATCCCATCCAATTTTTGTTAAAAAACTTTTACAAGTTTTAATTAAAAACCTACTGACTTCAATTTGTTTCTAAAAATTACGAGCAAATAGCACAATAATTATCAATACAGAAGAGAACTATTTGGTGGAAAAATTAATATCCTTACTGCAGTCGTTGTTATCATGACGATTACTCATACATTCTTAATTCTACATTTTCTCATCATTTCCAATGTAGTGGTTAAGAAAAATAAGTTACACAAAGATTTCGCTAATAAAGTCATAAAAACTATTTTCTGATTTACAGGCTCATAAAAGCTTTAATATATGAGCGTACTATAAAAGTATATTAAATAAAATGATATCAAATATAGTGTGCTTTCTTAACAGGAACTATCCTCAAAATTCCCAACAATACTAAGAGAATTCACGCAGTAATAAACTATACAAACTAGGCACGATTTCCGTTTATTGACTTTCATTTAGTCTTAGGATTACTAATAAATGTAAAAGTTACGTAAGCTACAAAGGACGATACATCCAACTAGGTAACATAGTAAATCACCTATTGTTCTAAAAAAACATAGAGATCGAAAATAAATGAGGTGTATTATCCATCATGTATGCATTATTTTAGCAGAAAATTTTTATAACTATATTCAGTTTTATTAACTTTTCATACAGAATCTTTTTATAACATTAAAACAATATGAAACCATCTTCCAATCAAAAAACGTAAACTATAACAATTAATTTGCAAAATCTAAATTTTAATATTAAATATTTTATTTTTATCGTTTTCAAGTAATTAAAGACAGCACACAATGGAATGTTTTAGCACATAACAATAAAAATTTTGACTCCTATATAAATAGAATAATTTTACTCGTATGAAAAACTCATGTGAATACTACCACACCAGAGAAACTGTTTGCTAACTAAAGAACAATAATGAATAGTGATGCAAGTTTAACCGGTTTGTTAAGAATTTGAACAATGACAAGTACAGCTGTTATGAGAGAAATTGAAAATGTCAAGTATGAAACACAATAAAAATGATCGTTTTCTTTAAAGTCTTGGCTATTTGCGCTGTTTATTTGTTGAGTACAAAATAAAATAATATTTGATAAAAATTGCAAGAAGTGAGCAATCATCACTGTCCTTACCACAGTATCATATTATACTATTCAGTAGATATATATCATACTTTTCAGTAATAAAAGGCAATGCAAGAACTATTTTTGACGTGAGATTGCTACAATTAGAGCAAAAAGAAGAAAGGAATGAGTGAGACGAGAAGAATTTCGCGCTAATTTAGTTTGAGTGGAAAAAAAGTAGATGAATTTGATCCTAAATTGAACTTCAACGCTTATTCACCAATTCTTCGTTTTTGTATTGGCCTTCTTTCTCGCACAATATCATTTTTGATATCCATGTGAGCAGTACTAATACTACAGAAATCTTTTTATAATACAAACCTACCTATTGTAATTAATAGTCCTTTTTTTTTCTCCCAAACATTAGAAAGCTTGTTGCTGCCACAGTTTTTAACATCAGCATATTATTGTATTAATTTTATTTAACGAGTTAAAAGAAGGACAAAAGTTTCGAAAGCAAATTTTCGCATCAACAATCACATTGCTGTCGTTCATCATTGTTTTGGTTCTAAAGTATATTCGATATAATAGTAGAGGAGGAAAAAAAGGAGGTTACTACCGATTAATACCTCTGCAATACCTATTAAGAGCTGACCCGATGACCTATATTATCCTTGTTCCCTCATGAAGAACTAGTAATGGGTACTTATTTTGGCAACAGGTACTGCTAGGCCAGTAGCACTCAACCTTACAAAAATCTTGACTTTCGCCCTCTTTATATTCAAAATACTACCTAATATTACCTGTAAGCTTAACCCAACAAATTCTCTTGTAGTTTTCTTCGCGAATATTTTCACTACTTATAAAAATTTTGTTCTTTAGCAATGTACTTCAATACCTTATTTTCATATAAAAGCTGGTCCTTAAATTTCTTGGTTCGTTCTAAATTTATCAGCCAGAGATAGACAGTAGAATTATTTCTATCTGCGAGATTAACATCAGAGAATACTAGAAACTGAATATAAAATTTTCTAGCTATTACTACCATTTGCTAGAACAGCTTACAATTATTAAACTATGTATCGTATTAGAGTATTAAGATAATTATTCCTATTTAATCTCTACAAAATTGTAAATATCGAATATTTTTCATGATAAACAAGTCAAATGAAATAAAAAAATTTAAGCAGCTCAACAAAATTGAAATATTTTGAATTTTGCTACTAAGTTAAGTTTTCGTAGAACAAAGCCAAACTGACATATGCAAATGAGAGCGATACTGATGTCAAGATAGTTGTTAATTTGTGTCATTTGAAATTCACTCTTCGTATCATTAGAGGTAGGTTGCACCACATCACGCAACTGTTCTTTCCCTTTATTTTAAACAAATTTTGAAGGTCGACTAACGCTGCGAATACTTCGATATCAATTTAAAAGGTCAATTAATTCTTAAACACAACGCTAAAAACAATTGTATAGACTACAAGGAAAGTTCTGGAACTCTTGGTACAACTGAAGCGCGCGTATACTTTGGAATTTTCTTGGATTCTTGATCCCAAGAGTAGCAGTTGCCACACGATTCCAAGAAATAATCCATGATACCTAATTCTTTTTCATTCATTCTGCGAAACTTCTAGCGATACCACTTTCTTTCAATTAATTCCTTTATAATTATCATTTATGGAATGTCAGGGTATTTATGGTTTATTCTGGTTGTTTTCGTGGACACACATATTGTGCGATAAAAACTTTGTTTCCTTACTTTTATATCTGACTTCTTGTTGAATTTAATATTTCAAGTTGATATGGTTATCTGTTTATCACGACAACTAATACTCCAAACTATTTTGGCATATTGTATAACGGCATTCTGCCCAGTCCACCATTCATGCATATGTGAAAGTCAACCTGATGGTTATTACCTCGAGTGTGATGGTTCTACAGAAACAAACTTATCCGATATTATACAATCACTAAACGAGCGATATGTGCAAAGATTAACAGTTACTAATGCTTCTTGGCCGGTAAGCTATTTCAGGATTTCAAATGACAGAGAAAAATAGTCATTTATTTTATTTTTCCTTAAAATAACACATCTTCAGATTTAATTTTTATTTTGAGCCTTCTTAAAAGTAAATGTTAAACTGCAAAAACTGCGCGATTCTTTTTAACAAGTTCATGCACTGAAACCATGAACAGAAATGAATTGTAAATAATAACAGACATGATTTGCACTATTTTTATAATCAAAAATAGCTTATTTAGTTGATCGAGGAATTGCCAGCAGCTCATATACGGTCTCTCCAGTTGATCTCTTGTGGTATTAAGAATATTAAAAATACATCTTTCGCTAAATTAGCTGATGATTTGGAACATTTAGCAATTACATGGAATTTTCTCACAACTGTACCTGTGCTCGGCTATCTATCAAAACTAATTTCGCTCAATCTCAATCACAATCAGGTATTTATTCTTGATAATAGCCTAGAAAGCTTAGAAAGCTTCTTTGAGAAACTGAGATAATATGTTTTTAGCTAACGGAATTGCCAGATAATGTGTTAAAAGGTGCAGAAAATCTCCGACATTTGCGTTTAGAAGGAAACAAAATTTGCTCACTTTCAAGGTTATCTTCAAGCTTTATTTATATGCCAGCAAAGATTATAATTGTAATCAAGCAATATAAGTTTTTTATTTTATTAACTTCTGAAATATCAGCAAGAAAATAACTTTAAGATTCTTAATGGATTAAATTTTCAAAAAGCAAATCGTTTTGTCAACCTTCAACAAGCTTCATCACAATTTAGATTACTTCTGATGCATATATACAACAATTACCGGCGTCAATATTTTCAGCACTTCTAAAGTAGAGATAAATTAGATGTTAATGTCCTTGATCTAATTTCATTTAAGAATCAATTGACCAGCAATAATAAAAAGATATGATATGGAAATGGGCAATTAACTACTGGGAATAAAAGATCAGGGATAAAACTTTTAGCCTAAGATCTTATATTTTTATATCTCTAGTTTCTCGCTGTAATCTGATTAATCATGAATGCTTATTAATGATAAAAGTTTGATTAAATTCTGTAGTATTGCTTCCAAATTAATATTTTGATATATAATTTTAGTTAATCACAAGGTTTATCATCAGATTTCGTAGCGCAAAAAGACACATTCTTCTTATTAAACTAACACTACATTTGATCTATTTAGAAAAATTATGATATAGACGGATTTGATTCATTTCAGTAATGCAATGTTGGAGATCAAGAATATGCTAGAACTATTAGATTTAAGTGACAACTGTATCGAAAATATTCCAGCACAAAATCTACGAAATTGTATGCAGCTCACTTACTTAGATTTATCTCACAATGCTGTCAATAAGATCGCAAATTTCGAATTAATGAATTTACCACTGCTAAAGGTAGAATATTTTAATGTATATTTCAATAGCTGCAACGCCACAAAATACTACCAAAGTGGATAATTGCATTCAAATTATTTTTAAAACCATTTCATTCAACCACGAATAACATTTTGCCTTAGAAATCATTAATTGTAATTAAAATTCTTCATAATATGCATAACAAATCCAAGTCAAAAAAGCTTTGGCATCTGAAATATCAAAGCAAAATTTTGTTTAGAATGTGAAAATTGATGATAATCAATTGCAATAAAACCACTTTTTTAATGGCACAGTTGTATCAAAAAAAGGTATGATACAATACCAAAGGACAGAAGGAATATAAAAAAAATAAGGTCAATACACGCTTACCCATCACAAACACCCACTGGAAGACATAATTTTGTAGTCTCGAACGAAGAAATTAAGATTTGCAGTTATCAGTAATACTTAATAGATAGTCTTTAACATATTAATTAATCACTGCAGCGACGAACAAATTATGAACGCTGAATTATTTTTGTATGAAATACTATTAATTAACTTATATACTGCTATTCCCATTTCCACTGAGTATATCTATGAAATAAGCTATTCACAGTCACTCAATATCAAGTTTTCAGGAACTACGATTAAATAACAATCAAATAAGTTATATCTCACCAATGGCGTTCATGAATGTTCCACTTTTGGAACATTTATATATACAGAATAATAGAATTTCTTCTATAGAAACAGAACGTCTTTTTCAAGTCTTCAAAAACCTTGAAGTTTTGGATCTATCTAGCAATATGTTTACAAAGGTTAGTTTTTACACAAGGAAATATAGTAAATTATTGCTTTCAACTCAGATTCATAATTACTAGATGTAAGTTCTGCTTTTAGGCATCAGTGACCTTAATAAAAATTATTAAAATAAGAAAATCAAATACACACGAAGATAACTTTGTTTTAGATACCATCATTCAAAGAATTATCCAAATTGCGACAGATTCATCTCAGTTACAACAGAATCACACAAATTGAAACGCTTGCATTCAGTTCCAATACAAAACTTCAGCTCATCAGTTTGCAGGTTCAATTTGCTATAGTTATAAGCGAAAAAAAACAACTTGCAAACCATGAAATGCGAGGCAGCTACGATTGTTTCTAATTTCACAGTTATGCTGCTTGTTTATTTATAGGCTTAGAAAAAATTATCTTCAAATCGTTTGACAAAGTAAATTTGATCCATTTTCTAGAACAACCACATTTTATCACTGTCACGGAACAGCTTCGATTCATTAGATGAACTTGTCGTTCTAAATTTAGCCAACAATTTCATTTCCAAAATCGGTAGGTAATTTAAATGAATCATTTTGTACTAGCGTAATCAGCATTTTTCTAGAAGGAATAAAATTTAAAAACAGAAAATTTTGAAAAAAAAAGTTCTTGGAAATAAGGAACTAAATTAATTTTTTAGAACGTGGAATGTTTGACGGAATGCAAAATCTACAACAACTCAATTTACGAAACAATTCAATTACTGTATTAGATAATATGACCTTCACATCAGTGTCACAAATCACAACTTTGGATCTGGCTCATAACGGCATACAAAAAATCGAAAAAGATGCTTTCAGAACACTTAAATATTTATTTTGGTTGGATTTATCATCAAACAACATTAGGACGCTAGAAATGGGTACTTTCAATGAAAAAATTGCCAATATTTTACTGAATGGTAAGTTTTTTGTAATCTAGCAGGATAAATAATAAGTAACTTCGGACATAAAGTTTTTTTCTCTTTCTTCACACTCCTTTTCAGACAATCCATTATACTGCGATAAAAAAATGGATTGGCTGGTGAGTTATCTGGTAACAAATCAAGTTCGTACGTTTTTACCTACACAAAATGAGGTACTTTGTTCTGGACCAGATAAATACAAAGGTATTCGACTAAAAGAAATGATGATAGCAAAATCCAATGAAACAATCAGTACTATGCGACAAATTGTCAACGAAGAAAGCAGAAATAATATTGGCAAGTTTAAATTTTCTTTCCATTAAAATCTATAATGGAAAGAAAATTGCAAGGATTATTTAATATCCTAGAGAAATTATTTACAATTACACAAATGTAAATAAAATTATTTACAATACTCAAAGTTGAATAAAATTACTTTTTAGGAGAATTATAAATAAATTACAGGTCGTGACAAACTAAATAGTGTAATATCGTCTGGGGTTTACGGTTTGCTTCCTATTGTAACACCTACACAGAAACCAAATTCACTTGAGATGGTACCAATTATTGGTGCTTTCACCGATGTTATTCCTTCAATTCAGAACTTTCCAGGCATCAATTACTTGCCTAAAGCAAAGGGAGAACAAATGCATGATGTTCAAAAACTCAATAGTGCTATTGAACAAGTGAATTTTTGTACTCTATGAAAAATATGTATCGACCTACTGAAGGAGGTCGTATTGAAACATGAAGTATTGAGAATTTTATTCAGTCCTACATGAATTCTGAATGCTACAAATTGCCAATAAATTCATGAATTTAGCTTTCTGCGCCGCTGATTCGTGTAGCAACTGGAGAACGAGCAGGACCAGCTGATATCGAACAAATTATTCAGGCTATACCAAACTTGGTAATTAATGTACCCGGCATAGGTAATGTTGACCTAAGTAAGGTACGTGATACACTGCAGGCAGTTTGAATTATATCATTCCTTACATACACTTTTTTTCAGCAATTAAAATAAAGTTTCAAAAATTTAGCTTTGACTGACAAGTGTTATTCTTACTCAGACACAGGAAACTACTAGGATAAAGAAATTTGCTCAATAAATAAAATAGAAAGTTTCAGCTTCCGCCCGGTGTAATAGCACATGTATTGAGAGGAGGAAAAATTCCGGGATTACCTGCTGAAGTTTTGGATAGAATTACGAAGGAATACTTGAGGCGGATGCATGCAGCGGCAGAAGCGGCTAAACAAGGAAAATTAAGAAATACTGAGTCACGATACTTGCCACCACTGGAAACGCTACCACAGGATCTCGTAACTCAAGTAATGCAAGGTGGCGAACTACCACATCTTGACCAAGAACAGACACAAAGCATCAGAGTAAGTCGAAATATTTAGCATTAAATGTTCACTTTATGGTAATAATAATCTTGTTTATTTATTTAAAAATATTCCAGGACTATTATACTTCAAAACTGCTCACAAGTAATAATTTGAATGAACTGAAAAACGTATCAAAAGAGAAATCAAAAAGTTTAACATCAAGAATGAGTAAGGTAGTAAAAATGCTACCCCCTGGTTACAATATCAGCAAAGTACCCAAAGCAGTGATTGATACAGTACTTCGTGGTGAGATACCCGACTTTACAATTCTTCCTAGTGAACTGCAACAGTACTTTCTCACAAATGGCCATCAATTCATTTCAGCGCTCTTTACCGAAGTAAGATTCTCAGTTAACGACTCAAACATGAATAGAATAAGCTTCACTGTTCTAAAGATTTGAAGTAACATACTTGACAGCACATGAAATATTAGTGTTCTACTCATAGGGTTACAGGGTTAAAGATAATTTATTAAGTATCATCCAAACGGATGGAATTTTTGAAACATTACAAAAATATATTCTCATCTTCAAGAAAAATAAAACCATCGAGGAAATACTACATAATTTACCAACATTCGAACGTCCGATAAAACCAACTTTTGTCCCGTATGATATTAATGAAGTGAGTAACGACCTTGCCCATGTTGAACAACGAACAGAGAAATTGATCAAGATTCAATATTACACTGCTTTATTATTAGGTATGCACATATTTTTTAAATAAATAAAGAATAAATGAAAAAGGATGAAGTGCTTCTTAATAATGATAGTAAGTCATTCTTGAATGCGGTAACTGAATCTCCTAATAGAAAAGATTCATGGTAAATAATGCTTCAACATGCATGGTTTTCCATGATGTGAAAAATTGTAAAAATCTCTAACTTAAAAGTGCTATTAATTTTAACCACCTATTTATATAATTGCAAATTTCTAGTCTTTATTTAGTTCTGTTAGTCTACTCCATTAACAGTATAACTTAATGCTAACTGTAAAGAATTAAGACATGTCATAGATAAAAAATATTCTTTGTTCTATTTGTGTACGTAAAAGTCAAATAGTAAATACGACAGAAAAATTTTTTTGTAAGTTCAATGAAACTGTATCAAAATTTTAGGTTTTGTTGGAGCTGCTTCTGTGGCTGTGCTTGGTTTAATATGTATTTACATGAAACAAAAACGTTTCGCTAACATGGATGGAGACATTGACGAAGATTCACTAGTAAATCCAAGTCAAGTGCCTCAACTACAGCATTCACCTACTAACAGAATGAAAATAAATTCCTCATTCACAAAAGAACGCAACCTTTCAGATATTTCTCATACATTTAAAATTTGAAGATCAAATTATCATTTACAACACAAATCAAGATTGCAAAAACTGAAAACAAAGGCATTCAGTATTGGAATCTATTCTGAAAGGACCAAAAAATAAGACGTGTACTTCGCTTGTGCCTTCTTGTGTATCACAAAATGTAAATTTCGTTGTAAATGTTATCCATGTTTTATTGTTCTACTCTCGCTTCATCAACACTATTTTTCTCACTATTTCATAAATGACTTCTAAATCTAATCGTAAGTAAGATAGTTAACATATTTTGTTCTCTGACCTAAACCCAATAACACTTCAAAGTTAACCTTGTTATGTTTTTATAACTTCATTTTCTAAAAGTCCGCTTAGCATCCTAAAAAGCACTAGAAACTACACTACTGCACAGTAATTCAGCCTGTTCTTATTCTTTTTAATTCATAACAACGTGCCTAGCTAAACTACGTTTTCTCATGAAATTTTTTGAAACTTTAACCCGATACTGCCATGTAGTTCTGTAACCAATTTATGTCAGATCTTAGTAAGTTAGACTTTGCATTAGTTATTGTTATCTTCTTTGAATTTTTGAATCACGAATTTAAATTGTGTATAAATTGTAGCTTTTGTATTATAAAATACATTTCTATTTGAGTAAGAATGCTCAAGTAAAGTATAAAATTTGCAACTTTTTTTTCCTACATTCAATGGCTCAACTACATTTGACATTGACTCGAAGATTGTTCAATTTTCTTATTGACAGCACTTAATAATGGAATGTGTAACTTAGCCACGCGCATAGCAAAATGGTAAATGCTGTTAGTGTAGTGCCTGTAATTATTTTTTTTTCTCTTGAGTTGTTTGGTATTCAAACTCTCATTTCAGTGAAAATAGTAATTAAAGAGCGAATAAGAATTTAAAATACATGTAAGAATGTATTATTTAGATACTGCAGTTACAGACAGCTGTCATAAAATGTCAAGCAACTGAAGCTCATATTTTTAACAAACAATGCAAACATAAAAATGAGTTGTGTCTAATGAAAGTAACGTTTGCTAAAAATAATGATTAAATTGTTGTAAAAAATTTTTGGTGAAAATATTTGCTAGATGTCAAAAGTTATTTTTATCAAAGTAAGTACGTGAAAGTTTGACCTGTACATTGCTATATACTAAGAAAGTAAGTCCATATTATTGACTGAGCAATAATAATTATGGAGTACAGCAAAATATTTGAAAAGGTAGTCACAATTCTTTCCCAACAATGACCTTGAATAAAAAGCACCCCCATAAAAACTATTTACATTTTCTAATCATTTCTGGCTGAGGTCAGCAGTCGTTTGAATTTCTTTGTGTTTAATTGTAGTTGCAACAAATGTGAGGATAGATTGCAACGAGCATGTTTGTTCCTTGTAACGTTATATTTGAAAATTAAGGTTAGAAATGACGAAATGCATTGAAGTGGTCAAACAATTGCGCATACAGCGATATTGTAATAATGATGGTAGCCACAAATTTATTTGATTTCTCCTCTTACTGTAGCTTTATTTGAGCTTGACGACAGAGCACAGTATTAGTACTCATTTACTTATCTTTAACAAATGAATTTTAAGGGTATATTAAGGAAGTAAAGAATGACTAAGAATAAGTCATGCAAATAAAATTGATAATTAAACGTATTCATTTATGCACATTAATTATAACTATTTTTTATTCTGATCATGATTTATTAGAAATATGATGTGGGTGGACAAGTAAAGAAAATTAGAAAGAATTTCACTTACAATTCTTTAGTGTATAATATGTGGGCAAGTTTATTAAACATGTGTGTGTACCTAAATGTCAATTATGTGAACTGTATATATCGCAGAATGTGAATAGAATTTGTTGCAAGCAGTTCTAGAACATTAGCAAGAATGGAACACTGATTATGTAAGATATGTCGTGAGAACTGATAAATGCTGCGAAATATTTTGAAATGATTGTGGTATGATTTGGAAAGTAAGAGATTGATATGAGCTATAAGTGTGAGAAAGCAAGCTGATCTGAAAAATCAGTTTGCAAGATATACTTTGGGTTTTGTTATGGGGAAAAAGGAGGTAACGGTTTGGTAAGACAGTAGAAAATAGGACCAGTAAGATCAACTCATTGCCGACCTTGCCATGCGACGTCTACCAATCCATCGAAATCGGCAGTTAGTGAGTGAATAGTACTGAATCGTTGTTGTATGCTCGCTCTTTCCGTTCCATTCTTTCAATCCTGCTACCCTCTGGTGTCTACAAGTGCCGACTAGGGATGATCATTTAAGAGCAACCCCATCCAAATCGCCAATCACCCAACCATTATTATCTATTCATCTATCTATCTATCTACCTGCCTATCTCTACCTCACCATTTTTCAACTCAGCCACTTCACCTGTGCGTGCCTGCTCCTGTAGCCATCACCGATATATCTATCATAGAAATAACAAACAACATCACTTATCCGGTTACTACTGGTACAACTATAAATATTACTAATCATTATTTACTACCATTTTCAGTTCTTGCTGCTCCACAACTTACGCTGTTGCTGTCACTAAAATTCTGAACCATTGCTGATATCATCAATTTTCCCATTCTCCAATATCTTCTAAGATATTAACTCTAAATGATTATTAAATCAAACTGCAACAATGCTATAATCCAGAGAAAACATTTAGGTGCAAAAGTAAATAATTCAACGATCAATTGGTCTCATTATCACGATGAAAACATGAGTACAACTTTTTTATACGAAATTATTGACAGTAATGAAGAAGAACGAAACAACCGCAACACTTATCTAATTGATGAAAAATGCTTTAGTCAAGGAACCGATGGTAACAAAGGTAATTACGATTATGGTGACAAAATTAATGGTAATAAAAGAGAATCGTATGGTAATGATATAAATGACGATGAACGAGCAAAATTATTGAGAAATAACCAAATCCAGTGGATGAAACAAACTAAAAACACCATCAGCTGTCGGTTCATTGAAATTTTTATTCTGTTTCTCAGCACCTTGCGCGTAATATCAGCTTGCCCAGATGTCGTTACTTCGATATGCCGTTGTGATGACTCACAAAACGGAATTGTCTTGAAGTGCTCCAATACTGATGGAGCTCATATTGTTCAAACATTAAAAGCTAATCAGATCAACCTGGGTTTGATTCAGCAACTGGAAATGCAAAATTCCGGACTAAAGCAGATTCCTGCTGGATTTTTCTCAGGACTCTTTATCAAAAAATTGGACTTGTCACATAACAATATTGCAGAAGTAGATGAAAATGGATTTCTTGGAATGAGTAGTGTTTTACAAGAACTTATACTTCATCATAACAATTTGACAAAACTACCAGCTAAAGCGTTGATACCACTATCAGCCCTCCTACGTATTGATCTGTCTAATAATTCCATTGGTGATATTGAAGCAGAACATGCTTTACCGCCGATATCAAAGGTTTTTCATTTTGCTTCAATAACTGACCAGTGTTTTATTCAATAAAATATTGACTTATAACACTTCAATTGAAAAATATGCTTTGAAGAGATCAATAAATATTGCTTTCTCATTAATCTTAATTGAAATCCTCAAATCTGAAATGAAAGTAACATCTTTTAACCAAATACTAACAACAAAAATAAAAAAAAGAGCAGTATGAAAGTCTTTCCACAACAATTGCACATATAATTAATTCTTTTCCGAGGTAATTCATCTCATCTCTACCATTGTCTATTTTAACATTTAATCAGTCTACTTTTTATATGGTAAAAGAGTGATAAACAATATAATTATCGATAGCCTACTGAAGATTTACTACAAAAAGTCGATAACAAAAAGAATGTTTCAAAAATTCTTCATACAATTTTTGCTTTTTAATTAATCATATATTAATGCTGCTCTTTCTTTGTCAACACCTCAATCTTTGATAAACTCGAAGCAAACTCATACCACCAAAATTTTTGCATAAAATATCCATTTTAAGAAAGATAGACCAGAATGCTTTAAGGAATATTTTTGCTTATTTCTCACAAGTTATTGTCATAGCCAAACTGCCTAAACATGAACTGAAATACCATAAAAAGCTGGTCAGTAAAATACTTTTAAGCATTCAATAAATTGCAGCTATACGATGTCAGTTTAGCAAATAATCGCATTTGTCAAGTACATAAAAACGCTTTTGATGATGTTAAATATAGTTTGCAAACCATAAATCTTGGAAGGAATTGCTTAAAAGAAGTGCCAGCAGCAGGTGAGTACACATTTACTCTTGAGTATATTTATTGTCTAAAAACCTTTTATGATCACTTACACTACAATTTACATGTTAATGTAATTACTTATTTATAAGCAATTTTTGTGTGCTTTAACTCAGTAAAGCGTTAAGGATTCTTTCATTCAAGGATTTATCAAGATTTTTTTGAAGCTAATGTATAAACTGGCTAGGATTTATAAAATTAGTTGGCAAATATTGAAAGCTAGAAACAGATTTAATATTGATATTGTAACTTATGTTATGTTTGTCAATTACTTTTTCAATTAAATTTTCAGCAATTCGGGGATTTAAACAGTTGATGGCACTACACTTACACAATAATAACATTACCTCATTGGGAGCTCTGTCATTTATGAATTTGCCACAAATGAATTTGTTGAATCTAGCATCAAACCATATTACAACCATCCATAAGCAAACATTTCTCAATGTTCCAAACTTGAAATATTTATACTTGACCCGAAATCGAATAACTAATGTCAGTTTAACCAAACCATTTCCATAACACTTTTCATTATTCACTTTTCCTGCTGCATCATTCATTTGTGTTATATTAAAAGTTATAAATGAGACATCTTTGACATAATTCTTTCATATTCCGAAAATAAATACATAAAGTGAAATTTTTAAGAGAGGTAACTGAAGAAAGAAAAAACATTTAAAATCCAGCGAATTTATTATGTTCACTTGCAGATTTCACCACACCAGTTCAGCTCATTTGAACAACTCGAAATGCTTGATCTCACAGGGAATTACTTGAATGAATTACAGCAAGATTCTTTTTCAAATTTGCAAAGTCTGCGACAGCTATATCTGGGCGAAAATCAAATTGCAAACATAGAAAAACAGAGCTTCACTAACAGCTCAGTAGTTATACTGATTCTGAATTCAAATCGCCTAGTGACTCTTGAAGAAGGAATGTTTGATGGATTAGTTAAACTACAACAATTAGGGTTGAAGGACAATCAGGTTTACTACATCTATACATAAATGAATTTAGAATATTGAGAATGAGGATTTTTAAAATTTATATACATGCTCTCTTTAGTTTCAAATAAAGTATTCAGTTAGTAAATAATGCATAGTCTAGAAATATTTTACAGGAAACCTGCATGATTTCAGGTCAGCTTCTACCTCTAGGTGGATGTATTAAAGTGCGAAGAATAAATGATATGCATTATCGTATGTTTAGATTCGTACGATCGATCAGAATAGTTTCTATTCCAACCCAAGTTTAGCAATGATTGATCTGAGCGGTAATGAACTGATGGATATACCGCCTACAACATTTTTGGCTCAAATTAATCTGTTTCTTATTGATCTCAGTTCCAATAAATTGTTGCGTACACCGTATGGAGCATTTAGCCGACGTGTAAAAACAGTTCTTTTGCAGGGTTGGTACTTTCATGAAATTTTTCATTGTTATATTGTGATTAGCATATTAAAATTTTCCAATCTACAGTATGCCTAAATGATAAAAATGTAATTATAGAGAATCCTTTGGTGTGTTCCGAACGAGTGCATATGCTGCAGCAAGGTGTGGGGATATATATAGCGAATAGCAAAGATGCCATTTGTGGAACAAAAAAGGATTATGAAAACAGCACTGAAAATGATTTTGATGGCAGTAATACATCATCTTATTTTACTATTGAAAACATACAAGAAACTAAAATTAAAGCGGAGGAAAAGCAGTCAGCATATGAAACTTCTTCTACATCATCATCTAAAATTGCTCCAATTATTCGTCCAATTCCCATTATCAATGACAAAGTTGGTTCTTTTCCTTTAAGGATATTTACAAAATTTTAGGATGTATAAGGGTAAAAAGAAAACAGAATTTGATAAATTTAAGCAATACTATGCATTAACTTCATTTCAGTGTTAGAAATATATTTTCAGCGTATTTCATTCCCGAAGTTTTGTCTCAATATTTAAGGTGAGTATACGAGAAGGCCAAACTGAAGAAGAAACTATTAATGATGAGCTGATTCCTATACGACCTATTCACGTAACTGCTAATGAACAATCTCTGCCTTCTTTACCATTACCAATAATACCCAATGCTGTGACAGCACCAGAAAGCGGATCAAGAATGATTTCTTCTAAATATGAAACCCATAACTACGGTACAGGAAGAAATGATAATTATAAACTGTTGGACAATCTGGGTTTACGAAACAGGAGTAGACCTGAAGAAAGTGATAACCATTCATTTCACACCAACAACAACAAGATATATCCTTTTCCTGTACCGTTCTTAAAACGTCCCTTAAAACCTTCAAGAGCTTTCGTAGCTCGATTCAGTAGTACACCATTTAGTACGGATCAAACAACTACGAACATTAATAAAGGATATAGCGAGCAAACACTGCCACCCAGTATTGTTGTTGCTGACCATGTACACGAATCTGATCAAGACACTTTAACTTTAAGAAATAATTACAATGAAAAAGTTTCCATTGAAAATGCAAAGGATGTACAGGCAAATGAAGGCGAGATAATTTTTGACTTGGATAATACGGAAAGGTATACTATTTAATATGTTTAACATCAAAAGTCATCTAAAACTAAAGCAATGCAAAGCTTGAAGCAATAAGATGAGAGCATAAAATTTTGCTTGTCCTTAAATTTAATAAACTAGTAACTAGAAAAAAGATGACTACTAACGTTATTTAATGGAAAGTTTAGGCAAATAAATACTACTAGATTGAAATTAATACAGAGAGAAGTTTCAAGAAAACGGGCTGAAGAAAAAACTGTTAATGATGAGGCTATGGATGCACTTATTCATATGCAAATAAATGCATCTATAATATTTCGAATTGAAATTACTTGTCAACTTTCTTTTCGAAATTTTCACAAATTCTTTCATTCCAGACTTGAACGTGTTGCGGCTCCATCAGTAATTATCCTAATATGTCTAAGTACAGTGGCTATAGTTATGGCTGCTGTACTGATTGGTTTATGTATTGCAAAACACCGACGTCTGCAGACTTTTCGCGATTCTATGACAACTGATAACGCCGTTGCTGCACGCACGAATGCTTACGTGGCTGCACAACTTGATATGATCAATGGAACGGTACAACGAAATAGGTAAAATAAAAATAAACTGTATTTTTTACAAGACGGCCATTTATTAATAGAATATATGGTAAATTTTAGGAATATATCAGTGGCCAGTCGATTAGATGACACTCAGCCGTGGATTTATGCACCAGCTTCCTATGCAACTAGTGGATACTATAAATAAAAGCCTATCAACCTACGTACAAAACATTCTTCATTTCAAAAAATTTTCGTATTTTTTTGAAATGCAACAGTTACGGGTGTTTTTTCAAAGTTTGGCAATTCATGGTTCAAAACATTAACGTGGCGCTTTTTATAGCATACAGATAATTTAATGTGAAATAAACATATTAAATGATGAAAATGATGTATAAAAAATGTTCGAAGTCTATAATAAGAAACTAGTACTATATGAAACAAATAGTGATGTAAATACATGAAAAAAGTATTGTAAGTAATAAGTTTCTGCATAGAACAAACTTCTGTATGTATTATTTCATACCATAAGTAAAAATAAATGTTCAACACATGTAGAAATTTACATTTTTAATATTATTTACATCTCAGTTTCCATGCACTTACATCACTATTTGTTTTCATATATTCAAGATGAATGGTTATTTTCAAAGAAAATTATGACAGAAAAATATTAAAACTTTGGCAGATATAAATTTCACATAGGAATTTTTCATGTTCATTTAATATTGTCAAATGATTTTTGTTGATAAAGTTTGAATCCACTTCTGCCAATAAGTTTAATGGATTGATCAGCTAGCAAATATGTTCCTATATGACGTTTTTTTCTAGATTTGTGAGATTTATTGTTCAGTAGTGTCTGAAAAATATTCAGGAAAAGTAAAACTAATTATTATTTAGTAAAGTTATGACGACTTTTATTACAAAAGGGATTTAGCACATTCGAAAAGTGATTCCTTGCTTGAGATGAATTGTAGTGCATGCATATCGAAACTACTGAAGTGATAATAACGCCCCATTAGTCAAGACCTCATATGATGGTCAATATAAAGCGATTTAATGCAAAAAGCAGGAAAGAGAGAAAAAAATTAATCGCTTTTACAGTGCAATTTGTATAAATAATTTTTTGACACACAATAATTTAAAAGAATTGTAAAATGCGAAGATGTTTATGTAGAATTAGACAACTCTTGCTCAGATTTAAGAAGAAGAAAAGATGAAAAACGTAGAACTTCAGTAAGTACAATTAGTGATTACCTTTAGACTTCTCACTTTTATACTTACTTTTGTATTTGAAATGCAACGCTTGTTTTCATGTGGAAAAGTATCAGTCAAAAATAATGTATCAAATAAAGCATAGATTCTGGCACCAGAAAATGAAGTGTTAAAAAAGAAACGATCTAGATATAATTAGCACTTCACTGTTTGCTACTGAAATCCATGCTATACATAATGTAATACACTCACAGTGGAAAAGTAAACTTTTACCGCTAATATCTGAAAAACTATTTCCACTTTTTCTTTCATCCTAAGCAAACAGTCACAATTTGTTTCAATGTACAAAATGTACACTCATCATCCTCGTAAAAGTGCCATTCTCTGTATTTTCTTGCCCTGAAAATTTTCCTTCTTGTCTTCCTTCATGAACTGCATTCCCATTATTTTGAATGATAATATGAATTAGAATGATTAAACAATTTTTTCCCTCAAAACAAAGATTATAAGCTATAGAAGCTCATGTTTCTTTTCACCAAATGACCTCGTTCCTTGTGAACTAAAATGCGAAAGAAAATCTAGCTTTGACAAACGCATGTGACAGTCAATTTTTATTGGGTTTACTATTATATTTTTCAAACAATATCAAATGCCTGAATTTGGCTCATTTACTGACAAATATCTGCAGGTAATCGGAAAGGAGAGATACTAATACGGCACAAAAGGAAACTATTTTATTTTTTAATTTTTCGAGATAATGATAATGACACTGATCGAAATTACCATAAATACTCTCTCTACCTACTCCTTCATTCCACATAAACATGACTACGTTTTAAACAAAAAGCAATTTTTTCTACTACTAATCAAATAATCTTACTAAATTATTAACAGTAGAGGAAAGAAACTTAAGGCATTACAAAAATCGTATGTTAGTATGCTTTATCAAAAATATGTACTTAATAAACCATATGATTTAGTTTATGCAAAATCTGACTCTCCTTACATGCATTGAAAGTAACAAATTGTGCCAATCAGTTATCACCTAAAAAATAAATCAAAGTTTGTATTTTTGTACTTCAATAAGTAATGCTATGCTATGGTACATTACCAGTTGTCTTGAAATATTTTGTCTAAGAAATTAATGATGGCTGTTTGATTGGTTACGAAAAGATGCCCTTGACCCAGCAACATTTAAAGCAAAATGATGACTCGATGAAAATTGAAGTGTTTGGGGATGCATTAAACATACCAAAGATACAGAAATATGTTAAGAGAAATAAATGGTGTGACCTTCCTGATTTCAGTAGTTCATTACATCCAACCTTCCGCCCATATTTACCCTCCGTGAAACCACCCCTTTAACATCTTATCCTCATTTATTCCTCTGCTGGATTTCAAACGTACACACATTCTATCAAAGTGGAAACTATTTCTTATTTCTAAATACATCATCATCTGTGACAAGTAAATAATATCCTTACTTATTTTTATAACTACTGCATCACTTACAACTACCTTCCTATTTCATATATCGAGTCTCAAACTATTCCTACAATCCTCATTACTAAGTGCCACTTTAAATCTATGAATTCATTATAATACAATCATTAAAATTAATTGCCTTAATTTAATAATATTAATTTCGTAGGGAAAAGAATAGATGTTGTGGTACTCAGTAATTGTAATACTACTTGCTCTATCTATCTATTCCACACTAGCATTTTGTCCATCATTTTTGAAAAATCAAACAGCTTGCACGTGTTTTGATTACATTGATGGTGTCGTGATACGATGTAACGGTCAAAATGGACCAGCTGTGGTCGAACAACTAAAAAAAACACCAATAGAAATACGCGAATTAGCTTTAGAAAATGCCAATATTGTCGAGGTCTGAATTTTGCAATTCAAAGTTGTAACTACTGACGATCGTACACTTTTTTTGAGCAACTTACCCCTTTCGCTATTCAGATTGCAGTTATTTCATTAGTAGATATGAAATTATTTTATTTAGATTGGACGGAATGCGTTCAAAAATTTGCGAATCAAAAAACTTATTTTGGATAATAACCGAATTCGGGCACTGCATCCTGACGCATTTCGTGGACTGGAATCAGTAATGGTTGAACTTTCAATTTCCAGAAATAAACTTTCTGCTGTCCCAACTGATTCTTTAAGTACAATGCGTGCTTTAAGTGTGCTCAGTCTACGTTGTAACAATATTGGTGATATCAAAACTCCAGCATTCCGCAATATGTCCAGTCTAATTGACTTAAACCTTGGCTGCAACCAGGTAACTCATTTGAGTACCATTTACTTTCATTTATGAAATTATTTAAGTGCATTGAAAGTGACAATTTGATTCAGATTTGCAATATAGAAGGACCAGTATTCAATGACGTGAAGAACACCTTGCAAAATTTAGTACTTGATAATAACTGCTTATCTACTGTACCATCCGATGCACTGAAAGGTCTGGACAATCTTATTGGTCTTCACTTGAAATATAATCAGGTTAGAGGCTCATTTTTGGAAAATATTTAAATAATTCCTTGTTTTTTTTAAAGCACTACCATTTGATTCCTTAAGTTCCAGTTCTTAAAACAAAGCAACGTCAAGCAATAGACAGTATGTAAAAAATTTTACTCGAGAAGCTTTGAAGATTTTCTAATTTCTGTATTTTCTAAAATGCTATTTTGTATATGGCAAAAGATGCAAAATTAAGTGATGCAATGAAAATCTTAGTGAAATAGAGTAGTAGCTTATATAAAGCTATCAATTTCAGATTAAACGATTGGAGAATATGCAATTAACCAATCTGAGTAGTCTAACCATTTTATCCCTCACAGGAAACCAAATTTCTGCTATTGAAAACGATTTTATGCCTCAATCTGACAGTTTACGCTATCTTTATTTGGGTTCCAACAACTTAACAAAAATTCCAGCAGGAATGTTTGACCAGTTTAAACAAGTACAGGTAAAAACTTCAGTTTCATCCACTATTCCTAATTTTTAAAATTAAAAACACTCTCAGCACTCAAAATATAAAATTTCCACTACTGAAGTAACAATTATCGGAGCTCTAAATCACACATATAAACGCAAAAATTGAGAGACATAAGTGACTGCCAAAATAGTTTTATTATATTGGCCACTGAATTCAGTTACTTCAGGTTATTGACATGAGTTACAATTATTTCACCGACATAATGGGCGATATGTTCTCTGGTTTGGAGCATTTGCAGCATCTAAATCTTGAAGGCAATCAAATTAAGGTTACAGTTTAAACTAGTTCTTTACTATATTTGAATGAGAAAACATGATAATGAAATATTTTATCTGAAAAACTCTTGATTAAATCAATACCTACACAATAAATCTTTAGAATGTTGCACCCGGAGCATTTGCAACTACACCATTACTATTGTTATGGCTACCAAACAATTGCTTACAATTTGTGTCACCAAATATGTTCCAAGGTACACCTTTCCTGCGACAGGTGTCACTTGCCAATAACAATATTAGGACCATAAAAGTAAATTACTGTAGCTTCATACTATTATTTTTAGTCCAATAAACATATCTTCCAATGTTTTTAAATCACAACAATCCTTTTCCAGGATCATATTACTCCTTGTCCGTTTCTTTAATTCGTTTTACCTACTTTTAATAGACCGTTTGTTCTTTTAATCAAAATTTGTCAAATTTTATACTTCAATAATTCAAAACTCTCGCAACTAAATTCCCTTTATCTGTTTCAGCCTTTGAGCTTTGCACATCTAGCTAATTTGCACACTCTGGACCTATCACATAACAAAATACAAGCCCTTGAACCAGGTGCTATTATTGGCTCGGATTACCTTATGGTTCGATTACAAGGTTTGTATTATCTACAATTTTGAGGTTTTTTTGTGCTTCGAGTGTTCCCAAAAATAACATCATGAAAACTACATTACAAAGTTGTCGGAATTTTTTCTTACGATTTCTTTTCAAATTACTATAAAAATATGTTGATTTGGAATAAAAAGCAGCAAAAGAAGACAAAAAAATTCTGTCATTTACGTCACATAAATCTGTAACAAGTTTTTTACACATTTTCATAAACCCAATAATTGAGCAAACGTGGTTTTTAGCATTTAAAACTTATTTAGAAAATCCTATGGTCTGCTTACAAGATGGTTTTCACGTGATGAATGGTAATGAAGCAATAAACCTTACAACAGAGCCCAATTTAGTTTGTCAAACAAACTACACAAATAACGTAGAAGACGTATGCCCTAAGAGCAATGATTCACCACAAGCACAACCATGCTGCTCAAAATCTGTAACAAGTATTTTTTTTACATAATTTGATAAACCCAATAATTGAGTAAACGTGATTTCTAGGAGTCTTGCGACGATCATAGTAAAGTACTGAATGATGTGATCGAGTTTTTTCAAAATTTTTATCATAAAGTTTCAGAACTTGACAAACCATACTCAACAACTTCCCTTTTGGTCACAACTACATTTTCAACAACTCAATCGATAAAGAGCTCTCCAAAAATCCATCGGAACGGTATTCACAAAAAAAAGTTTAATTTAGAAAGGTTTATGCGTCTTTCTCAGCGACCTGCTGGATATCGAACATCACCCTTCTTAGGACATCGCAAACTAGCACAAACAAAACCTACTGAAAGTGCTTTGCAAAGAAAAACAAATGCGACTAAAGCAATGAAAGTGAGCAGCAAGATAATAAATAATCTAGAGCCTATAAATAATTAAAGGAAAGCGGGATAATCTTCTAAATAAGTCTAATATCTGAAAGATAATAAAGTCCAATCTTAATTGATATTAGATGAGAAAAAGTCTTTAATCATACATAAAGTTCAGCAAAATTCTTGAAATTATTTCAGAACGAACGATCTCCAAGACTGGAAAAATATTTAGAAAGGATCCGGGCTCAGTTACCTCCATATATCCGTACAGAGTCGAAAGATAAGGAAGAATTCGTAGAATTTGTGTCGGACAGTAATGTTGATTCAGTGCAAACACAAGATCGTAAACAGCAATGATTTCAAGATTTACTGATGTTGTGTGGTGATATTAAATTACTCTGTTTCGAAAAGAAAAATCCGAAGAGACATTAATTAATTTGAGTTAAATCTAAGCAGTTATTTCGCTATTATGCTTTAAATTTCAGGCGTAATAGAAACACGTCTTTGAAAAATAAACTTCAATTATAAATGTGGACTGCCATGAATAACGATAAAACACCAGAATTAAATAAGTTAAGTGAATTAGAACTGTGAACATGAGTAAAAAGGAAGTACTCTCTAAAACGAATTGATACCAAGTAAACTATTTTTTGCACTGATTCATAGCATTTCCACAAAATTTTTGAAAAAACAAAAACTAGCCATCTGTTGAAATAGTTGGTGACTGCAACACTGTTTCTGCGAGAACGTACGGATTTGGCATTTGCTGATTAGGCAGGATTATATTTATCTCAATCTGAAGCTAGTTTTAAAAAATTAAATATATCTTGAAACAGCATTTTCGAACAGTTCTGGATAGAAATAAACAAATTGGGAGTAAATATTTTTAGCGTTAATGGATGATCAATACCTCCTCAAAAAAGCAAACAATGTCAATCGTCATGTTGTCGCCATTATTTTCATTAGGTGAAAACCATTTTTGATCGCTGATAGTTTGATCCACAAAAGTTGATACGCAAGAAATTAAACGCATAAATTGAAGAAATTGGAAATGGTCAATTGCAATTCGAAAGTTACACATCGGTTGCAATGCAACGCTTATCTAGAAAACAATATTAAGATCTCTACTTTCTAATACATTCAATCTTGAGCAAACAAAGCTATAAGGATCTGATCACATAATCTTTCATGACAAATTATTAAGATACTGAAAAACACTTTAAATACCAACTTTCGTTGCAGATAAGTTCAGACATATGTGAAAATCAACATCAGCAACAAAAGGTGAACTCGGTGTTTTTTCCCCAAAGTCTGTCTCGACCCAAATTGGTGAAGTACTAATCCAAATCCGCTCTCCTGAAGCTTTCATGTTATAAATAAACCACTTGAACTATGCTACAATCAAATAATGAAAAAAATTTCTATAATGAATCCCCTAAATTTTGCTAAATTAAAATTCTGCATTAGAATTCCCAAAAGTACCTATTTAAATGCTCAGAGATAAAAACTTACCCTGATTATCACCCCCACATGAATTCTGATTGAGCTTGAAGATAAATTCCTTCAGCTTTTCTTTTTTAACTAGCAAGTCAGTACTGTCAATATAATCAATAACATTGGGTGAAATAGATTTGAAGAACGAGTTTGATTCGCTACTGAAAACTGCTTCAGAGTTAGTAGCTACTAAAGAATTCATATTTATCACGATCCTTCGAGCAAAACGCGTATCTGGTACTGACGGCTGGATTAAGGGTACTATAATCTGAAATTTTTTGAAACAAGATTTTTATTCCAAAAAAATGGAGTCAAAATATGGAGGAGTAATGTATAATTGAGGACAAACAACTGTAAAAATCTCTGACTATATTTCAGCAACAAATTTATCTAATACCTTTGACATGATCAAGTCGATGCGAAGACTGGTTTTTGGTATCTTAACTATTTCAGGCACTGCACCGGAAACTTTCTGCAAGGAAAAAAACTTTAAAAAAAGAACCATGTACATTTTAGAACCATCGAATATATCACACTACTAGAATAAGGTTAAATGACTCACTAATGCACATCTTATGTCGTTAAATACAAATAAAAGCCATCGAATTGTCCTTTGATCAAATAAAAAAAAGAATGGACCAAGTAAGAGATGTGTAACGCTTGATGGCACTAGAAATTTGAAAAATAATTTTAAACAAAGAAAGAGAATACAAGTAGTATTGTTAGAAAGCTAGTGACAATAAATTTTAGCTATTACCTGGGAAATTTTCAGATAGCGGGTGATAAAAAGATGCTAATTCAAGATGAAAGAGTGGGTGATCATTTGGCATAGAGCTTTTTGACTTGCGATCCAACATGAACAAATTGAACAAAGATTCTTTCTTGGTACTTAAGTCTGTCACACACTGGACAATGACATCATATATACGAATCACACAGTTCTGTGATAACAAACTTGGCCATTTGCTAACAACCTGAGTTTGCGTCTGAGCATCTACAAAAAAATTACTCCAAGAAACTAAAAATTAGAAGTACTTCGCAATCAACGGAAATAATTTTAATATGATCGACCACAGAGAATTTGCATCTGTGCTTTCGCAATTTATAAGCCATGAATTTCTTATAGAAATAAGAAGTATGGACCTAATTCATTACAAAGTTTTCGCAAATGAGACTGCAATACTTTGTGAAACCAGAGAGCACACTGATTCGCATTATCATATCGTAACCAATCACTGCGATCCAACACTGCGCCATTTGCTGGATAAAAATCAACAGACAAACGAAACATTGTTACTTGCAATGCTCCAGAAATAATGTCCCAGTCTTTAGGATAACCTATGTAAGAGCTGATCAAATATAAAAATCATTTAAATGAGCATAAATAGGCAAAAAAAAGTGAGTGAATGCTTAGTACAAATAAAATTTCACTGCACTAAATTAATTTAAAAGCTTTTAGCTGATGAAATTAAGTACTGTCGTTAAACAGATTTTGTTTGCAAACAAAGAGAAATAAAAGCAAAAAAATACCATCTGAAGACTGGTTATCATCACACAGATGAAGATCAATTTTCCCAACATAAACATGATAAGACGTTTGTTCAAAGTCAAAACTGCGAAATATGTTTGAATTAGGATTTGAAGATGATAATTTGCTTCCTGATGAAATTTTTAGATCCAGACGCTGCAAAAAAGGAAAAAAAATGAAGTTTTGATAATGCACAAATTGACTGAACGTTTTCTTAACTAATGATAAAAATGTCCTACAACTATAATGGGAGCAGACCTGTGTTTGCACAACTGACGCTTTTTTGGGAGCCATTCTGATAATATTTATAATATGATCATAGAATGCAATTGCAGACCGGACCTGTGGCAGAGTAGCAATCCACAAAATATTATCCAGTATTACTTGTATCCGACCACCAATAACACTACCATCTAAAAAAAAGTACTAAACAATAATTTCAATTTTTTATTATTCATATATGCCAAAGATAATGAAATATTATGCTTAAGGCGAGAAATGCATCGGTGTTGAAAATAACGCACAAAAACGTTATATAGAACTCATCGAATCAAAATAAAAATTCTTATTGATAAAATGATAAATTATACCACACGTAGACTTTTTTACACTAATCCGACTTTTCCCACTACTGGTTATTAGCCTTAGAGGAGCGTTTATAATACTTCCTGATAAATCATCTTGTGCAGAAGCTTCTATACGTAACAGCTGCCACGTAACCTAAAAATTTTTTATTATTAAAGACTGTGATGATAAAAGCTAGGAGAGAAACTTGGATTAATCTTTAAAACCAAACATAGCAAGTGCATAGATATTTTTTTGTAGATCGCTATAAAATTTGTATTTAACGCACCATTTTAAACATTAATAATCTATTGTTCGCTGCATCTACGATCCTAGTTAATCGCAAATCATTAGTTGACTGCCAATTCGGACTTTTGCTTTCCACCGCTAGCCTAGACAACTGAAAAATGGGATTTTAGAGTGTAAAATTTTGCACTGAAGCGTAAGAGACAAAATTAAACACTTAACTAACCGTTAAGGAACCTCGAAAAATTCCAGAATCAAAATGAATCTCGACAGAATTAACATAAAGTGACATTCCTTCTGCAACCCGATTTGCAAATCCATACGACAAATCACCAAGAGAGCTAAACATTTTATTGACATCTGAGAATAACTTGGTAATTTATGTAATAAATGTTTCTGGACTTTAATATAAAATTTCCTCTTACCTCAACAAATTCGAACCACAATAAATAACTTCTTTGGAGCTTAATTCAACTTCAACTTGTATTTCATCAATAAACTGAAAAGTAAACATGAATGAAAAGTGAAATAAAGTCTTGGAGTGAGAAAAAATACAAATCTTTGATTCAAGTATGGCTAGAACATGATCAAAATATCATGAAAACATTTTTTAAATTGAAGTTACATCTAATTTAAACTATTTTAAAATAAAAACCATCGACTGCAGTGTATCTAACTTTTGTATAAATGCAATTATATGTTCAAGTTTTGAAAATGAAATTATACTAATTGAACTGGCTGTGACTTTAATCTCGTCCATGGGACTTTTACTGCAATTCTATTGCAAACAGCTCGCTTAATTCGTAACCAAACTGGCAATTCAAGTGCCTGTAAAATTTGACAAAAAAAGCGTCTTTCTGTATACTGACTTAAACGACCTTTTTTGATCAAAATATCATGAAAGGGTATCAAAGGACATTTATATAAATGAAGTTAATCTCATCCTTGAAATAATGAAAGAACTGGAAATGCATTCCAGACATTAAAAAGATAATGAAGTCTTTTTTATATTGTTACTTTTTGAAATAAATGTAAGCTTTACGATCATATACTTTTTTACACGTAATAGCTTAAATGCTGATGATTTTGTTTCTCGAAACTTGTAGAAGCTGAGCATATAATTTAGAAACTCAGCCTTTACAAATACAAAGTGACAAGATAAGTCTCATTATTTACTTAGTTCATAATAATGATTAAAAGAACGAACTAAAAAATCCGAACAAGAAAATTTACTTCACTTAAGACCATTTCATTTAATTCGATATTTTTCAGTTCTCCTTTACCACTCAAAATTTGTACGCTTATTTGATCTGGCGTAATGTTGCGTGCAAATCTGAAATTTATCTTAATTACAAAACTAGCAATGTGCAACATGTTTAAAAGGTCATAAAAAAATAGATTTGATGAAGTACTTTGAAAGGTGCTTGATAATCTGATTCTTGATTATACTCGTCATTACTGCTTAGAAGATTTCATGTGCATTGGTTTGCTGATTTTCAGAAGTATCTAAACAACGATTTATAACATCATGAGCAATAGAAACAAATCTCAAGGAATTAAATCTTTGTTCGGTTGCCTTACAAAATATAACTTTTAATTTTAGTACGTAATAGAACCATTTAATAAAAGGTAATATTTAAATAGTCAAATTTGAAACTTAAATGTTCCACTGACTTCTTAGCAATCGACAGATTATTAAAGTTAGTGACGTAAACACAAAACAATTACTTTAATTCAGCTTGCGATTCTCTGGAAGAAATCGCAGAAACTACGCAAAGAATGGTTAGTAATAAAGTGGACAAATCTTTTTCACATCAAGTGTTGGAAATATTTCCCTTCATTTCAAGCATTGTGAATAACAACTTGATAAACCAGTTCTACTTTTGTCCTCAAATTTGAGATGGAATGACCTAAAATTTTGGCTTGATGACCCTTAGCCTGTAGCAATAAAAGGGGTTAAAAAAAAATAATTGAGAGTATGTGTATAAATTTTCAGGGGTATATCGTACGTATGCATATTATTTCAGTGACGTATTGTGCGTATGCGTGCGCGTACGCTTTCAGTATTGTGCTTGTTATTGTGGGTCTCATGCTACGGTAGGGCAATTAGTTGGTGGTAATTAATAGAAGGTGATAATTGACTTTAGTTATCACACAGTCATGAGTTTTAAAGTGTTAGACGCTTGTTTTGTGTGGAACCCAAGCTGCGCAAACTGGGGAAATGCTATAAAATAATCAGCTGTATTTTTTGAAATTCTGCAAGGATATATTAGAAACTTCAAGTATTTTAATGGCTTCTGCAAATGAAACCAGAATAAATGAAGATTATTTCATTATGACATTTTCACTTTTCCTGTTCCTTAAAATGGCGGGATTTGGTGTTGCAAAAATATTTTCTTCGTAATATTGAAAGAAGAATATGGGGAACTGCTAATTAATTGTTCTTGAAAATCTCATTATTTCTGGTTCCTATTAATGTATTTGTGGAAGATATTTTTAAAAATTCTCATTTCTGATCCCTATATTTGTGGAAGATGGCTTCAGCAAACAATGCAAGATTAATACTTCTTGAATGAATATAACTTGTGTGAAATTAACATTAAATTTGCATAACGGACCGAAAAAAAAAATTTTAATGATAGCGTTAACTTAAAATACTGATGATGACTGAAGTCATAACATTTTCGTTTATGAACGGATTATTGATCGGTCAATTGGGTCTGTCATCATTAAGGGCTGATTTCTACATTCAACGGTAGGACATCTTATGTGTATATCTTTCGACAATAAATTGATTAAGTAGACCTGCTTTTGCACAGTGATATGTTTGTGGGAAAAATTTTAAATTCAAACAAACTGCCTCGGATGCTTAAAAGAGGCTCTTACAGCATTACAGTGGAAGTGTGAAGTTTTAGTTGTGTATGTATTTCAGTGTAAGAAAGGACGAGTAGCAATGAATTCAGATATCCTGATGTACAAGAAATGTTCATATGCTATCTGCTACCCTTCGCAGGTGACCTGTTAAATGTTTAATTTTCTTTGGAGATAATATTATATGCAAATTAGCAAAAGGTATTATTATGAATTAAGCATGGCAGATTCTTTACTGTGATTTTCTCACTAATACTACATCTATTATTTAAAGTGTTTATTTAGTAGTGTTAGGTTCTTTAAGCATGAGACGACTAAAATGTTAAATTACACTGCCATTTTCATGTTATTTTTGCAGTGCCGTTTCTTATTTTTCATGAGGTTCTTAACTATACTATTGAAATTGTCATTGAGGTCTTCGAGCTTCGAACACCAAAAAGATATTTCATTAGTTTACTTTTGAAATCATTGTAATGTGAAATTTTCATGATTGAGTTCAGACTCTGCGACTCCTTGCTGAGAATGTTTTCATTAAAGGTGTAAATGTGCGCTACATTACAGAAGTGTAAGTTGATCTTGTTGAATATTATAGGTTGTAAAGTATCACTTTGAACCTAGAACAAAAGTAAAATCAAAGAATTTAAATTTACTTTATGAGATTTTATCTTCTGAAATATCATGCTGTAAGAATTATTGTAAGGATTACCGAGATTATAGAAAGTTAGTATGACTTCTCTATGTTGATAGTTATCAACATAGAGAAGTCATAATATTCATATTTTAATTTAATCAATATTTCTGATAATAAAAGAGAGCGGTCGAACTAAAAGAAAATGATCTGTACTTAAAGGAAACGGAACTTTAGAGATGAACGATTTGGTGTTTATGTGAGATTATATGCTATGGTAGAATGTTTTGGGCATGTGATTAAAGCAGAAGAGTTGATTGAACAGATTCGGGAACAGGTTTTACCATTTGATCGAACGTTTGGTGAGCATCCCATAAACAACACCAAAAATGATATGGAGGTTTGTAAGTGATTAGAGAAACTGCGTATTATATTTGCGAATTTTCTTTCCGAGTTTTTTCAATCTGTCAGAAGGAAGCTAAACGCAATTTAGAACATCTATATTTTCTCTGGTTATATTTCTAGCTGGCCCGCTTTCTAAAAAGAATGTTAATTACATTGTACCGTCGATGTCATCGAGTATGTGGAGAAGACGTACCAAATATTGGAGTCATTGTAGTCCGTGAAAAATTAATTTACTGCGGAACTATTGGAAATTTTGTGTAAGTTATGAGATCTAGACTTCATATTTTCTATGCATCTTTTCTTTCGTTAAATTCAGTCAACTTCAGATTTCGACTATTTTATGTTAAAACCCATGAACAGATAGGTAAGATCGACATAATTTTTCATGAGCATCTGTTGAATAATTTTCTGCCATTGAAATAGTTGTCATAATGACTTTGAGTTAGCTTTTAGTTCATGGGAATCCAAAAACTATTGAGGTAACAAGCTTTTATGATATGATCGTTTAGATTTCTTTGAATTTAATTTTTGTCAGAATTCTTTCATTTATAAATAATTTTGAAATCATTTACACACGAATATTAAGCTTATTATTTTCGCAACTAGACATTTTCTTCATTTCAGTTTTTATCAGTAATCTATTTAAATTTATATTAATACTGATTTTACTTCGTATTATCATATGAACTGATAGTGGTGTAGAAGGCAATTCACACATTATGACCTGAACGTAATAGGTCTTTTATCACCAACGTCAATTAGTTGCATCTTAATAGTATTGAATGTTGTTAGTGATTCTTGCGACTTTTATATGACACTAATTTAGATTCATTTTACTACACCAAAGTGATAACCCTTCTCAAATGGAAACGAATCCTCGGACGCACACCCTTCTTACTAACTTCAATTTACTGGTATCTAAAGTTAACATGATTTTTTCATTACATTTAACTCTAGAAAACAATCAAAAGTTAAAAATCCCAGGTAATACTTTCTTTTTTTTTTGTCAATTTGCCTTTTTACTATGACAAACGATCCGCGAACAAAAAGTTCCAAATCATTATAACTGATGAGTATTATAGAAGAGGAACATTGTACCGAATGCAAATGACATACCCGTAAATCTTCATATACACAAGGCAAATTTTGTTTCATTGAGATTTTTTTTTTTCACTTTCTTAGAATTACTTTATATGCCTAAAAAGCAAGGCGCATCGCCTTTCCACGCTTGATTAACACTGATTTGAAAATTCAGATGATAAAGATGGATATTTGAATTTTCATAATTTCACAGCTGCTAAAGATGGGATGTCCAGTGTTTTTAGGTCTCGCGATCAGATTTAAGATTCTTCTTGTTTACTTTGGAATCAATTCGGTCACTGGTGAAAGCAATCCCGTCTATAAGTTTGTTCTTGAAATCTGCTGGTTGGTTTAAAAGATTATAAGCATAAAATGCCATAGTCAATCGTCTACAAAAAGTTTTTTGATGACATAGGTTGAACCCTGTAGAATATTGCCATAAATCCAAACCAGATAAAATACCATACACAGGCAAGCATTGTGCAACTAATACTATTATAAAGTTGTCGATCGTCGAGAAAGTTTTTGTAATAGTTGTAAAAGAAGTCAAATTTTTTGTTTTACATTGCATTATCAATGCAAGATATTTTCAGTAACTTAAAAGTAGAGATATTTCAGAGGAACTAGCGTGGACATTACATTCATGGCAAATAAAGGTGTATTCAGAAAATCCATGCAATCTTTTCGAGGCTGGTTTCATACTCGTGGATAACTTGCAAAAGTTAGTGGCGGAAAACGCTACTTATATTGAACAGGACGTCGTTGATAGACTATTTAGATCAATTCAGGTAAAAAAAATTTAAAAAAACAGATCTGCAAGGGCAACAAATATTAAGGCAAAATGAATTGGCTGAAGAATGGGAAGTATTAGATACTTAAGAAACAGACGTAATCTTTTTTGGAATCAGTAGTTGAAGAGATTCGCGATGAGTATATAAAAATTTTTAAACTTGTTAATAAAATTATTTCTGCTGAATTCAAAGAGATGTTCGTAGTGAAAGAGATATCTCAAATATTAATAAAAATGTGGAACAGAAATGCTAGGAAAGAAAATTTCGCAGATAAAATATCGGCTTAGAAACCATTCGGGAGAAATCCGGGTAGTTTTATGAAAAACTTTGAAATATAAGGGCATAGCTAATGACGAATTGTTGCTGTGTATTAAGAAAGTAAAACGAATTTTGGGCGCTGTGAAGTATGAAACTGACCTAGTAATTTATATGCACGAAACGGGTTGCAAGTATCGACGGATGCAGAAAATAGCAATGTCTGAGGCCGGCATTGTAGAGAATTTGCACAGCATTCGTATAGAGATGGAGGAAGTAATCAGTAGTGGGCATAAGATAAATTTGGAAATAATTGGTATCGAAATGTAGGTAATGAGCCATTAAAAACTTATCTTCAGAGTGCATATAGTCAATATAAAATAATACTTAATTTTCGTAAAAACGCTATTACTGGCATATTTTATAGATGAAATACGACGTTAGGAAGGAAAAACTTTGGTTAGGACCATGTTGGGGCGGCAGGAATTCACGAGAGCGTCATCGTTGAGAGTAGTCATGTTAGCCGACACATCATCTGACGGATTTCAGTTTTATTTGTGTCATCAACCAAAGCGGAAAGTAGAAAGCAGCTGCGACAAGGTGATTGAATCGTTATTGTTTTAAGGCTAATTGCGATTACTTTTGCTGCATGTTGTTAAGTGTGAAGTTGTTTTATGTTATGTTTTCTGTATTTTGAATTTAAAAATTAGGGAATCATATAGTATTATTGTTAGCAAAATAAAAATATGTTAAAATGATGAATTAAAAAGTCGATATTCACCATTTTGCCTTGAATACTCAGTCATTCTCTTTTATCAGTTCACCGGTTTTTTTTTTTTAATTGTTAGTTCACCTGTATAGTGAAATCAAACTTTGATACTGCCTTAACGTGATGCTAAATATTATTCACTTGATCTATATATGGTGAATGCTGTTGGCTTTTAATGATAATAAAACTTCAAGAAAATAGCAATACAGGATCAGCGTCACTATGTTAATATAATGACAATTGTTAAAATTATTAAGTCGGAGTTACTATCAAGGATAATGAGGTAAAAACTGTTGGATAGGAGAATTGGCGAAAAGCTGACAATTGTTATGGGTTGAGGTGATACTTCTGCTTCATCCATTCATTTGGTCCGAGTTCAGCAAAAACATGGGAGTAAAATTTAAGTAAATGGCGGTAAGATGTTTGAATATGATCGCTTACTCATTTTTCCCATTACATTGCATCATTTACATATTCCATGATTATGGTACTCTCATTTGGGCAAGAAATGCCACTGAATTACCCTAAAAGATCAAACCCATGTGAGATATCAGTACAATGCATGTGTATACTTATTCTACACTTGACGTCACCAACTTTCATAAAATACTTCTTATCTATCACTTTCTGCAAATGTCAGTTAATAAATGAATCAAATCATTTTCTTCACTCACAAGTTAAGCAGTGTAGCCAGAAAACAGTCTTGGTTTTTCTTGCAGAAGTTGTATCATTTCGTGGTGCTACCATAATACAATCGCTCAAAAAAGAATAATTACATCATACTGTATTACAATTTCTGGCATCCTAGTGTTGAAAATAAACCCTAGAAATCATAGATAAAAATTTGAAAAATTATCAACAAAGCATAAAACTTACTATGAGTGATATCTAGCTCGTTTCAAGAAAATTAGAGTGATACAAACTGTAATGAGAATGTAAAAATTTACCAATAAACAGCATTCTCGGAACAAAACTGTCTTCATATCGATGATGAAAATAACTAAATTTGATGATTCTACCTAGATAATTATTAAACTTCCATTTCAGTATACAAGAAACGTTGGCTAGTAATTCTAATTTGCGTACAGAAAAAAATAATTTTCATCACATTTGTCGAAGTAAATGTCTCTTTCAGTACTTATTATCATTAGAATCAGTCTTTATTCTGCTTTGTGAACATACAAGATAATATCATTCCACTACTTAGATATCGTGATTTCAATTATTTAAGATCTAAATTACGATAAGCTCATTCTTTGCCCTCCTTTTAAAACGATACATTAAATTTGTATAATAAGTATTAAATTTGTATAATAAATATTAAATTTGTATTGTATAATAAATATTCATAAGAATTAATTAGCAATAAATTAGAAGGAAAAGAACTGAAGGTAATATCAGAAGAG